TAAGAAGGAACCATTCAGTTAGACAAGACAGAGGTCCACGTGTAGCACCCGGCCCATACTCATACATTCCTTCTGTAGCTTTCAGAGCAACATTTTTAAAGTACCACAAACAAAAACAAATTGTTTATCTAGAATTCAAACCCAATACTCAGGTCAGACTGTGTCTCTTTTCTACTCAAAACTCCTCAGTGATTTTTATCTAAAGGACACCATCTTTGCTGCAGAGATGGTCATGCAGTAGCTTTATTGGGAAGTGCTCTGGTGATCAACATCAGTGGAGGGGTGAAGAAAGCGATATTGAACAGAGGAGGGAGTTAAATTCTGATACAGTCTCAGTAGAAGCCTCAGTGGAGGGTGGATGGGAATGGGAAAGACAGTAGAATGAACTGGACAGAATTTTCCTAGGTTCATATATGAATACCTGACCAGTGTAACTCCACATCATGTACAACCACAAGAATGGGAAGTTATACTTCCTGTATATATAGTATGTCAAAATACATTCTACTGTCATGTGTATCTAAAAAGAACAAATATATTTTTTTAAAAAAAAGAAGCCTCAGTTGTTCCTATCATAGTTTTGAAAAATTTCAGACAGCAGTCCCAATTTAGGATGAAGAGACAAGGTCTTTATGCTCAGAGGATAATAAGTTGAATGTGGGATACTCCAGGAAAGGAGCATGATCTTGAATGATTCCAATTCCCAGAGAGGGAATCATTCCAGAGCAACCAGCCCCATCCATACTTCAAGTAGCTGGGGAAATTATACCCAGATATTTTTTCAGCATTGCGGTTTGAACCCAGGGTGTTACACATGCTAGCAGGTGTTTTACCACTAAGTTATACTCTGAATACCTAGATTTTTTTAATGGGAATATGGATATCTCATCACAGTATTCACTTCACTTCCAAAACCCAAATGAAGAAAATCCAATCATGTTATCATGATACACAGGCCTTTCATGATCTTGCATGTCCATCCCTAGCCTCATGCTGTCTTCTCCTGGAAGTTGGTCCCTCCCTCTGCCCTGGTTCCATTTATCTGTAGGCAAACTCCCACTCATTCTTCAAATTACAATTGAAAGTGCCTCCTCTGAGAAGATTGCCCTGACTCAGTGATCCTTTCCCCGAGCATGGGGCTTAGGCCCATGGACTATGGAGCTGGGTTTGTATCCAAGTTCTATCACTTGCTAGCTAGGTAAACTAATGCAAATTACTTAACTTCTCTGTATCTTAATTTTCTCATTTATAAAATAGGAGGTAACAATAGTTACTCTTATGTCATAGGGAGGTTAAAACGAATAAATGAGCTAATATGTGTAAAGTTAATCAGTGTCTGGCAGAAATAAATGGCCGCTGATATTATTGTTGTTGTTGCAGGAGATACTCAGTATGCATTTGTGGAAGGCATAAACAATGGAAGGAAGGAGGAATTGACAAGACGGAGTGCAGAGTATATTCAGAGAATATTGAGTAATCCCATCTGTCAGAAGGGGAGTAGTAGCCTTATGGGCACATGTTGGGAAGAGTTTTTAATGTCACAGTAAAGAGTGTGTATCTTATTTGGTAAGCAATTAGACACAATAGCAGAGTTTGTCAACATATGGGAGAAGGTGCCAAAGAAATAGAGGTTAAGTCAGGAGATGAGGCATATCTGACGTGAGTTGAGAATTACAGGTAAGGGTTGGAGGGTTCAAGTTTGGGATGCTTAGAAGAGGTGGGTGATGGAGATTTATGGGAGATTAGGGAAAATGGTTTTAGAGAAAAGTAATAAGAACCTCTGGAAGATGAAGTGGGGTAGTTAGATGAGGCAGAGTGACCGGGACATTCTGAAAGTGGAAAGATAAAGAGTGATGGAGACAGGTAAGTTTTATGGGGACAGGTAAAGAGTGATGGGGCCCTCCAGGGGCGTGGGGTCATGTGAATGGTAGAGACCAGTTAGGAGTATTTGCTGGAGCGGATCCATCTAAGAGAGTCCTAGGGCTGGAGGAATGTAGAGAGGGGCAGGGTGGAACGTGATGTCAGAGAAAGGGCGGTGATGTAAAGGCCGGGCGGTGGGGCGGTGATGTCAGGGCTGGTGCTGATGCTGGCGGCGCAGTGCATTGTGGGCAGCTCCCCGCTCTGCCGCCGCCGCCGCTGCGGTCGCCCGAGGAGGATCGGGGCCGGGCCGGGCCGGGATGGTCCGGTTCCGGAGACCGCCGCCGCCGCCACCGGAGGGAGCGGGCCGCCCAGCGCCGCACTGAGCCGCCCCCGCCCCGCCCCGGCCACGGGGGATGCGCCGCCCCGAGCCGCTGCCTCCGCCGCCGCCGCAGCCGCAGCCGCAGCGGGCACAGAGCAGGTGAGGCGGGGCGGGGCGGGGCCGGGCGGGCGGCCGGGGGTCCGGGCGGGGGCTCCTTCTGGGGGGCTCATCGGGCCTCGGGCCTGGCTCTCCTCCCAGCGCAGCCGGCTCCGACTCCCCCTCCCCGCTGCCGTCGCCGCTGCCCGAGCTGGGACGCTGGCCTACACAGCCTGGGCCGCAGCCCGAGGCCTGGAACCGCTCCCTGCCCCCGCACACAGACCCACCCTCTCCAGCCTGTCCCCTTGGGGTTTTACCCCTCTCTACTCACCTCAGTCCCTTGTCCCTATGGCTTCACGCCTGACTCTCCTGTCACCTCTGACAAGTCATTCAGCTGTCTGCAGACCCTCTCTCCCTGGTCCTTGGTCCTTCCATTCCTCCTACTATTCTCCTTTACCTACTTCTCCAGCCGTCAACTCTGCCCCCAAACGCTCTTAGGGTCCTGTCACTTCTTCAACTGTCATCATGATCTCTCACCTGTCATCATGATCTCTCACTTGTCTCTATCTTACCAACCCCCTCCTCTTATCCTGTCACTCCAGATCCCTTCCATTCCCCTCTGCTCTCTTCTACACCTTTTTCCACCTGTTCCCATTACCCCTCACGGCTCTGTCTGATTCATGGCCTCTTATACCTGGGCTCCCAAATACCCACCCACACTTGGTTCACATCTTTCATAGTTACACATCAACACTTATATTCACATACCACGATGCACTCCCAAGCACTTAGAAAACACACACACACACCACATTGCTGGTCCCATACATGCACACTCTGAGAGACATTAGAAATCCTCTTTCTCACTACACGTCCAGAGGGGCCTGAAGCGCAGGAATGGGGCAGCCACGTTTCTTATGTTGTGTCTTTTACCCTCATGGAAGCTGAATGTAGTCCTCCTGAGGTAGACAGGAATGGGAAGGACAGTGGAGAGGGAGCAGCAGGTCTCCCTTTTTCCACCTCACCTTTTAAGTTTGCCCATCTATATGGGAGCAGGACACAAATTTTCCTTATCCACCCTACATATTCCACCATCACAGGACTGGAAGGTCCACCAGAGTTCACCCAGTTCAACTTCTTTCTTTTTTCTTTTTCTTTTTTGTGGTGCTTGGGATGAAACTCAGAGTATCATACATGCTAGGGAAGCACTCCAACATTGTGCTATGCCCCCAGCTCTCAACATCTCTTTATTTTTTGATGTTGCTGGATATTGAACCCAGAGCTTTGAACATGCTAACCATGCTCCCAATCACTGAGTTACACCTCTAGCCCAAGTTCAACTTTTTAAGGCCCTCTCCTCACCAGTTCAATTATTTCTTCAGTCTTGTCCTCAGTCTGTCTCCTCCACCTTTATTGCAGAACCTCATCTTCCATTGCCCTCACTGCCCTCCAAATTCCTGATGCTCTGTATCCCACTTCAGCCGGAGGAAAGAGTGTGGATTAGAGGAAACAACTGAATTTAGTCATTTTAAGAAAAAGAATGACTGTGTAGCTCCCCATGAAGATTCTCTTCTTTCATGTCTGCTACAGCACACCGTGACCTGTTGAAGGATTTCCCACCCTGTCCCCTTATTATGATGTCTAGAAACAGGACCCCTGGAAATTATCCCTGGAAAGTGCATGCCTACACACCTGTACAATACAGACAGTCAGACATGCAGAGACACACACATACTCACATATTTTTCTGGGTAATATGTGCCTGGCTTTCCCATCCCTCACAGTTGGGACACTCTCCCTGATATTCACCTTTTACTCATTCTAATGCCTTCTGTATTCTTTCTAGTTGATATATGAGCAGACCCAGAGAGATGTGGTCAGAGGCTCTCTCACCTCATGCCCACCTATCTGCTACTTTCTGTCACTCCTGCCTTCTGCTAGGCTGCTCCCCACTGTCCTGTTCTCCCCAATTGAGTCTGGCTTTGTCTCTTCTGAATGGCCACAGGGCTGGCATCCCTCTGAAATCCATGTCTTGAGCCCATCATCTTGTGTTCACCCAGGACCCAGCTCACATGCTGGCTTTCCAGCCCAGGGCTGTGTGGGTCTCTCACTACTAAAGGTGAATGCCCCTCAGCAGCTGCATCTTCTTCACTCATGGGCCTGTCATGTATCTCCTCATTTCCTTGATGATCATATCTCCATGTTGGTTAGCAGGTCACTCTGGTTTGGGTTTCCCATTGGTCGCCCCTTGGTCAGAAGATCTTCCCTTTTTACTAAGCCTCTGATGCACAGCTCTTTGGGCATGATGTGGCACAGGGGAGATATGGGTACTGGGGATCACCAATGGACCACTCAGACTGGTCCTTCTTGGCTTAGTTGTCCCCTACACAAGTATAAGTCCCAGTTTAGTATGATCCCTTGGTTGATGAGTCTTCTCCACGTTAGTAAGCATGTCTCTTTGGTAAAACGGTTTTCCCACTGCCTGTTCACATATCATTGTCCTCTCCTTGTTTCATCAACATATGTGTCCTGTTGCTGTAGTTTGTAGTTTGTATCTCCCTTCACTGACCTCCATCATGGAGGAGTGCTTCCCCAGTGAGCTCTATAGCATCTGCCCTGCGGGCCAGGAAGGATGTCTGCCAGTTGAGCTCTTCTCCAAATCTGCCAGGTAGTTCTGGGTCACCAGCCTGCCCCGCTCACGGTCACTCCCCCATTCCCCCAGGTAGATGGCCCCACCAGGGCAGGCCCTGCGGACACCCCTCCCTCGGGCTGGCGGATGCAGTGCCTAGCGGCCGCTCTTAAGGACGAAACCAACATGAGTGGGGGAGGGGAGCAGGCCGACATCCTGCCGGCCAACTACGTGGTCAAGGATCGCTGGAAGGTGGTGAGTGACCCGGTGGGGCAGAGAGAGGGGTGGGGAGAGGGAGGCGAGAACCTGGAGACTTGTTAAGACAGGTGCCCTTGGAGCTTCTACCCTAAGAGGGAGGTGTCCCTGGGCTTATTTGCATACTGCTTGCAGGTCATTGTTTTGCCCACACGTGTGGACAATCGCTTTTTCCCAGTAACTCTCTCCAACCCCGCCCTCTCTCACCCCTTTCCTGGCCAGGTCACGTTGCTCCGGCCCTGCCTGGAACAACTCCTGGTTGGATGTCTGGGCAGGAGCTGCAGAACCCAGGGTGCGGAGGAGGGAGGTGTGGGGGAGGGACCTCTTTCTCTGCCGGACCTTGGAGAAGGGCAGTGAATGGACATGTGTTCCTCCGCTTCCGCGGAAGATAGAAAGGCCTGGGTTTGGGAAAAGAGGCCTTGCGGGCAGCTCCCACCGCATCTGCACTCCATCTTCTCCATCCACCCTCCTCCCCTCGCCGGTTCCTGCGGCAGGTGCAACACGCCGAGACTCCATTTCCCAGCGTGCCTTGCTCATCCAGCCCAGGACTTCAGGCTGCTCGGCCTGCTGGGAGTTGTAGTCCGAGCCTTCTTGAGCCTGGGTGGGAGGGAGCAACGTGAGGGTTGGGGGGATGGCAGTGTCTGGGGAAGGAGAACCTACGGTAAATTAGCCCCTGTCCCATTTAAGTCATTTAAGAGCGCTTTGGTGTCCTCATCATTATAGAGGCGAGATGATATGGGGCGGTAGAGTGGGAGAAACTAGTGTGTGAGCTTGTGGTTCTGCAGGGGAGTGGGAAGCCTGGAGGAAGGAAAGGAGAATGACAGAGTTCAGGTTTACACGTGTGTGTGTGTGTGTGTGTGTGTGTGTGTGTGTGTGACTGTTCGCGCGTGCGCACCGGCATGCTTTGGTGGGAGGGTGGATCAGCTCACCCAGGGTTTGGTTTTTGGAGGGGAGGGTGGGGTCTGGGTGCAGGCGGGTCTCCATAGCAACAGTCACCCGGCGGCTCAGGTCCCCTGGAGGTCCAGGAAAGAGGCAAAGGGTGGGGGTGGGGACTGAAGAGGAGGAGAGGAGGAAACTACTAGAGCCCGGAGAGATAAAGAGAAGAAGCTATGTCCTCAGGGAGACTTCCCGAGAGGAAAAGTAACAGGACAGTCATAAAAGGGAAGAGGGTCTGGTAAAGTAAGGAGTGTTCCTCCAAGACCCCCGGGTCCCTAGCACAAGAGCTTAGTGTATGGAACATGGGAAGCAGAATGGCATTTGCACTGAGTAAAAAGAGTTCACATGCTGAGTTTAGGCTAGGACTTCCTTGTGCTTTGTGAGGGAGGGAATGGGGTATGAGTGGGGCAAGAAATGATAAGGGGAAGCTGGGGAAGAGCAAGTATACTCTTTTGTCAGGCCCAGGGTTTCTCCTTACCCCACTTCCCAGCCCCTGAAGAACTGGAGAGGTTGAGGAGCCAGGTGCACTCCTTAGTGAGGGATGTCACTGAGATGGGAGTCAGAACTCTGGAACCAAGAAAAAACTGCCTAGAAATGGGCTATGGCCAGGAGAATATGAGGGTCAGTGGCACTAGATGGAGCATTTAAAAATGAGAACATTTTGTCCTTGTTGGGGGTGTTCATCAGAATCAGAATACAAACAGCAATAAAAACTTAGTATTTATTTGTTTTGCTCATTTACTGTTGTCAGGTGCTGTGCAAAATGCCTTACATAGTTTCTTCAACTACTTATGCAGGAGATACTGCTATTCCTCCCATTTCACAGGTGTGGAAACTGAGCCCTAGAGATTAGCAGTTGCTAAATTCCTGACCAGCTCTGTCTGACTGCTGGGTCAACAGAGTCACCAAAAATCAGCCCATCCACAGAGTTGAAGGGATATTTGTGATCAATTGTAGTGTGATTCTCTTCATTTTATAAAGGAGGTAAAATGGAGACTCAAAAAGTTTAAGAAATTCACCCAATTCCTCCAGAGTTGGACCAAGAACCCGGGTCTCCTTCTTCCCAAGTAAATTTCTTTTCCAGTTTAGGGAGCTTCTTCATCAGCGGTTGAGATCATGAAAAAATGTAGGAGGAGGGGAGGAACACGTCTGGCAAAGGGGGATTGAGAGAATATTCGTGGTCAGGGGCTGTAAGCAGGGCTGTATTATGACTTTCATGAACCTGCACCACTCTTACCTTCATGACTCCTTCTTCCATAATAAAGCACTAAGAATTCTATTTTTATAACTATATTCATATAAAAGGAATATAATCAGGGGCTGGGGATATAGCTCAGTTGGTAGAGTGCTTGCCTTGTATGCACAAGGCCCTGGGTTCAATCCCAGCACCACAAAAAATAAGTAAATAAAAATAAATAAAAGCAGTACAATCATATAGCATATCAAATTTTTCTCCTTGACCTAAACATTTATTTTTTTCCTTCTGACTTTGAAATAAAACATTTTCATGAATCTCAAATAGTATCAGGGGCTTAGTCACTGATACTATTATTATTCTTAGGCATGATGGTGCATGCCTATAATTTCTAGGGCTTGGGCGTCTGAGGCAGGAGAATTGCCAGTTCAAAGCCAGCCTCAGCAACTTAGTGAGGCCCTAAGCAACTCAGCGAGACCCTGTCCCTAAATAAAATATAAGAAAGGGCTGGGGATGTGGCTCAGTGGTTAAGTGTTCAATCTCTGGTATACCCCCCAAAAAATAGAGAAAAGAAAAGTGGGCCCTAGTCATCGGGCAGGTGGAGATGGGGTGCTGATTGAGTGCTCCCTGCCAGCTCCCTACCAGAGGGGGTTTCTCTGACAGGATAGGAGTAAGAAAAGAACCAAGGAAGGAGAAATAGGCTCTGTCTGGAATGAAGGCAGTACAGAAGCACCCTTGGGCACCCTGGGAAATTGGGGAGTAGGTGTCAGAACTATCTCTGCTGCTTTGAGCTTGCCTTTCTTTTCCCTAGCAAGCATTTGGGAGGCTAGCAGCCCCGGCTTGAATCTCAACCCTCACACTGTTAAACTGATACGGTTCAGGGCTCCTCACAATGCAGTGGATTCTATGCCAGTGTGGATTCTCCCTCCAGTTGCTTGGGTTCTTTGAAACCCAGCTTTGCTAGTTACTAGCAGTGTGGCCCCAGGTGAGCGACTGTCCTCCCTGTGTCTATTTTCCCTTTGTACACAACAGGGACTCATGTAACCTTTCTCGCTGCTGCTTCTCCAATGAAGCCTTGGGGATCCGCTGTCTGTGAACTGGGGATGCCTTGCCACTCCTTCCCCTGCCTTTCCTGGTTCTCACACACAGCTAATCATAGAGGAATCTGGAAGACATTAGTGTTTCCCTGGCGTTGGAAGTTCCCAGAGGAAACCATGCCACAGTGTCCCTTGAGTTTGCTTCAGTCCCCTCTGGTTCTGAAATTCTCCCAGTCAGACTAACTCATCACAAGCAGAAAGCTACTCTGCTCTCTCAAGGTCCTTCCCTTTCCTCGTGTTCCCACTTCGGCTTTGTCTTCTCAATCTTTCCTTCACCCTTTTCTCTCTGGAGTGATTTCACTTTTAACTTTCTGGAACTCCCATTCCAGTCCTCCAGCTGGCTCTGCCCTGGGCTCTTCCTTCTTCCACTCCGTTTCAACCACTATTCAGCAGTCATTCTTGGAGTCCCAGGAGCAGAGGTGGCAGAGACTCAGGAGTTTACCTGCTGAACTGTCAGAGCCCAGCTACACTGGAGAGGTAGAGCTAACAGGACACAGAGGACTTAGGGAGGGCAGGCCACCCATGTGGGCAGGCTCCCTGAAGAGGTGAGAATCCACTGTATTTTTTTTTTTTGGTACCAGAGATTGAACCCAGGGGTGCTTTACCACTGAGCCACATCCCAGCCCTTTTTAATATTGTATGTAGAGACAGGGTCTTGCTGACTTGCTTAGGGCCTTGTTAAGTTGCTGAGGCTGGCTTTGAACTCCCAATCCTCCTGCCTCAGACTGCTGAGCCACTGGGATTACAGGTGTGTGCTACCATGCCCAGCCAGCTGTACATCTTTCTTTTTCTTTTTTTTGGTGGGGGAGGGTACCATGGATTGAACTCGGGGGCACTAGACCACTGTGCCAAATCCCCAGCCTTTTTGTACTTTTTATGTATAGACAGGTAGACAGGGTCTCATTGAGTTGCTTAGTGCCTCATTTTTGCTGAGGCTGGCTTTGAACTGGCGATCCTGCTGCCTCAGCCCCCCAAGCCACTGGAATTATAGGCATTTGCCACCGTGCCTGGCTGTACATCTTTTTAAAGCCAAACATAGAACTCAGTGCCTTCTTCCTGTTCCCTCTTCACTGCCAACAGTGTCTTCACCCATCCAAGACCCCTGGACCTCTCAGGTGAAAATATTTCCCCCTGCTATGCTGGGGATCAAACCCAGGGCATTCTACCACTGAGCTATATCTTGAGACAGGGTCTTGCTAAGTTGCTCAGGTTGGCCTCACACTTGTGACCCTCCTATCTCAGCCTCCTGAGTAGCTAGAGAATCTGGGATCACAGATGTGAAGCCAAAATTATTTTTTTAATGTTTTTATTTTTTTGTCGTAGTTGGACACAATACCTTTATTTTATTTATTTATTTTTATGTGGTGCTGAGGATCGAACCCAGGGCCTCTCATGTGCTAGGCAAGCACTCCACCACTGAGCCACAACCCCAGCCCCCAAAATTATTTTTAATCCCTCTCCATAACTCTCCTCATCTCCCCTGCCAGTTCTTCATCACAGTTCTCTTCTGCTCTTCTCACCACCTGCTCTGGGAGGCTGGGAGGGCCTCAAGGGTCAGATCATGGGGTTATATTCTTCTCCAGAGTTCATTCCCACCCTTCTTCAACAGCACCCCCTTCCCTGGAGAGGAGACTTTGGGCACCTGACCAACCTCAGGTGTGGTGTGGGCTTCTCCAGTGGGCATGGGTCATGGACACCCTTCACTGAATCCCTCCCCCAGATATTCTCTCCCTCTGTTGACATCTTTCAGGAGACTGACAGTCCCAGGAAGTATCAGCTCCCATCCTGAGGCTTAGAGGTTCTGGAATTATTTTTCCTTCTGTTTGAGGGCTCAGCATGGGGAGACCATGGTCTTTGTTGTCTTAGAGAAGATGAGAATCAGAGTGGCTGCTGATCTCTCTAGAACTCTATATAGACAGGCTTATCTTTGTGTCTGTGTAGAATCACAGATTTCATAACTTTTTCCATTCTGACCTCTGGTCTTGTGTGTGTGTGTGTGTGTGTGTGTGTGTGTAGTTGTATATCTATGGGCTGAGCTGTCTGTCTGGAGGCACTAGGAGAGAAGAGGAGGTTGGGGACACTGATGGGAAACAGCAGGAAATATGGGGTCCTCCCTTCAAGTATATCCCCTTCCCCATCAATGGAGGACCCAATGCACAGAAGTGGAATGAACATGTGCTCAGCTGGATCCTTGAGGACTCCTCTCCCTCCTCTCACAGCTGAAAAAGATCGGGGGCGGGGGCTTTGGCGAGATCTACGAGGCCATGGACCTGCTGACCAGGGAGAACGTGGCCCTCAAGGTGGAGTCAGCCCAGCAGCCCAAGCAGGTTCTCAAGATGGAGGTGGCTGTGCTCAAAAAATTACAAGGTATGGACCCAGGGCACGGGGATGGGGCAGAGGTGATGGAGCTCAGGGCTGAGAGAGGTGGGATCCGAGTCTCAGAGAGTGATGGGGCGAGGCTGCGTTGGTGATGAAGGAGGGAGACGGGTCTGTGGCTTCTAGAAGGAGATGGAGCCAGAGTGTAGGAGAGAAGATGGGGCTGGGGGCAGGGGGATGAGATGGCAGAGGCCTCCACTTGCCAGGGAGTGGGGAGGTGGGAGCCAGAATGCCCCAGGCACCCACTTAGGGCTGGAAGTGAGGAGGAAAGAGCAGGAGTTGGGAGGTCCTGTCTGTCCCCTTAGGGAAGGACCACGTATGCAGGTTCATTGGCTGTGGCAGGAACGAGAAGTTTAACTATGTCGTGATGCAGCTGCAGGTGAGCCCTCCCAGCGCATCCTCCAACCTCCCTCCCAAGATCTGGGGCTGCACCTCAGGGAAGGGAGCAGGGAGGGGAGACCATGGCCCCTTGGGAAATGAGCCCGGGATGGGAACAGCACACGGGGCAAGGCTGGGCAGAGCATCACAGTGGTGGTGGTTGGGGTGCAGCTGAGGCGGGTCTGCGCCCCTAAACCCCCAGGGCCGGAACCTGGCTGACCTGCGTCGCAGCCAGCCACGAGGTACCTTCACGCTGAGCACCACGCTGCGGCTGGGCAAGCAGATCCTGGAGTCCATTGAAGCCATTCACTCCGTGGGCTTTCTGCACCGTGACATCAAGCCGGTGAGCCTGCCCCGCTCCTCCTCTCCACCTCTGGGCGCTGGTTTCTTCTTTATGACAGTGGTTGGGCTGGGTCAGCCTCTTGTACCCAAACCCCTCCTGCTCTCTACCCCAAGCCCCATCTCCTCTCCCTGCTGCCCATGAGCACACAATCTGCCCAGCCCCCACCTCTGAATTCTGCTCCTCTTAATTCCTCACCCCTGACCTGAGTATCCCTTGAACCTAGAAAGGTGACAGGGTTGGGAGAGGACAAACAGATGAAGGAAGGAGACGGAGGGTGGGGGCTTGGTAAGGAATTCCAGGAAACCAGTTTTGTGGTAACTTGAATCTTGGTGCTAGAAAAAAAAAAAATCCTATGTAAAGGGATGAAAACTGAGGCCCCAAAAGGTTAATTGAATGGCCCAAGGACACACAGCAAGAACAATGTAGATCTGCTACCTTAGAGCAGGACAGTTACACCAAACCACGCTGCCTTGCCGGGGAGTGCGAGGACATAGGGCTGAGCAGATTGGGGTTTGAAGCCTAGCTGGGTTGTCACTTGCTGTGTGATATCAGAGAAGCCCACTCACCTCTTTGACCTTCAGCTTCCTCATCTCTAAAATGAGGACAATCACACCTGTGGCACCCATGTAAATAGAGTTTGTCCCCTTGGGTGTGAGAGTAGGTGGGGCTGGGGTCCTTCCTTCGATGGAGAGCTATTTCTTGGGGAGTCCTGGGGGTAGGAGCCCCCGGGGCTCATAGCTCGTCTTTTTCCAGTCCAACTTTGCCATGGGCAGGCTGCCTTCCACCTACAGGAAGTGCTACATGCTGGACTTTGGGCTGGCCCGGCAGTACACCAACACCACGGGGGATGTCCGACCGGTGAGTACCACTGCGCACAGAGTTCTGGGCTGTCAGGACAGTGACACACTGCCCCCCCCATGTGGGGACCCTTCACCAACTTTTCTTGCAACTGCTTAAGCTGGCCTGGCCTCATCTTCAGCATAGCACCCCCAGCTCTTGGGTCAGCCCGTCCCGTCCCTCTGCCCCTGCCTGGGCCCTTGTCAGATGTCACAGCCACACTCTGTAACCTTCCTGCTCTCTGGCAGGTGGAGGCAGGCAATGGGTCAGGGTCCGATTGGTGGCAGGGCTGAGATGTGGCTGAGGTCAGGGGCTAAGGGTTGTGGTTGTCCTGGTTGTGGTCTCTCCTCTGCAGCCTCGGAATGTGGCCGGGTTTCGGGGGACTGTTCGCTATGCATCAGTCAATGCCCACAAGAACCGGGTGAGTGACAGAGGCTGTGCTGTGGGATGGGGGCAGAATGGGCAAGGTTGGGGCAAAGTGCGCAGCCAGGATAGGGAGTAGGTGGGCCGCTGGTGTCAGGGTAGAGAGAGGAGCGGGGCAGGGGCTGGATGAATCTACCCTGCTGGAGGCCGTGTTGGCTCCCCCAGATGTTACCCTCTGCCTTTCCTTCAGAGATTCCTGGCCTTCTGTTCCCCTTACAAATCACTCCTTTCCCACCCCCACAGGAGATGGGCCGCCACGATGACCTGTGGTCCCTCTTCTACATGCTGGTGGAGTTTGCAGTGGGCCAGCTGCCATGGAGGAAGATCAAGGACAAGGTGAGACCCACACAGCTGGGTCCAAGGAGGCAGGGGTGGGGGCAGCTGGGGTTCCATCTCTCCACCCTCTTCTTGCCTCCAGGAACAGGTGGGAATGATCAAGGAAAAGTACGAGCATCGAATGCTGCTGAAGCATATGCCCTCAGAGTTCCACCTCTTCCTGGACCACATCGCCAGCCTCGACTACTTCACCAAGCCTGATTACCAGGTGGGAGCCTGGGCTTGCTCCTGCAGCCCTGGACACCACTCTGGGGGTGACCATCATTCAGCAGAGCCCATTCTCATCAAGGCCTGGAGCTGACTCTAAGCGCTTACCCTGGTCTTCTAACTGCACCAAACTGCTCTGTACCCTCCCTTGTAAACAGTAGTAACAGCTTAGATGGATCAAGAGCTGGCCCTGTTCTTAGTGCCATTCAAGCTTCAAAAGAAGCCTTTGATGACAATTGGACAATGTTATTCCAATACATAACAATTCCTGAAGCCATGTGCTCTCAAGTACTTTATACCAAAATTGCAGGAAGCCACATGGGATGAGTGTTCCCATTTCTGAGGTGTAAAATTGAGGTGGTATCATGGTTAGGAGGAGGCCTGGGCTCAGATACAGTTGTGCATTGTTCAATGGCAAGGATGCATTCTGAGAGAAATCTGTTCTTAATTTGTCATTGAGAATATCATAGAGTGCAGTTACACAGGCCTAGAGGGTGTATCTACTGCACACCCAGGCTGGATGGTGTGCATGTATACATGATACAGCCTATTTTTTCAAGGGCCATGGTGAACAATATGAGATTATATCAAATTCAAGAGAAAATGATGCAAACAAGTGACACAGCAAACCTGAGGGGAGCTGCTGCTGTGGTGCTCAGCATATTGTTTCGTAGGAAACATTTTTTTTTTTTGTAAGTTGCGGGAGTACACCATAACATAATTATAAAAAGTATATATTAGGTACAGAACATAATTGTATTTTTTTTCCAGTACTGGGGATGGAAGCCAGGGGCGCTCTACCATTGAGCTACATCCCCAGCCCTTTTTATGTTTTATTTTGTAGCAGGGTCTCACTAATTTGCCCAGGCTGGCCTCAAAATTGCAGTCCTCCTGCCTTAGCCTCCTGAGTCTCTAGAGTTTCAGGCACCTGGCTTATGTGTGTTATATTTGTATACCACTGGCAGTGTAGTAGGCTTATTTACACCAGCATTTCCACAGATACTGAGTAATGCTTTGCACTGTGACCTTATGAAAACTATGACTTACCAGGTGACAGGAAATTTTCAACTCCACTGTAATCTTATGGGGCCATTATCACATATGCAGCCTGTTGTTGAACAAAACGCCATTATGCATTGCATGACTGTGCATCTGACTCCAAGTCCAGTGCTCTTTCTGAGGCACCCTCACTGTGCACCATAGGACCCACTGACCCTGATTGGGAGATGCAGGATGTGTCAGCCGTGCTGTCAGGAAAGTACTGTGGGCCGGGGACAGTGCTGCACCCTGTGGGGAGCCCAGACACTGTGGATCACACAATAGGCCTTGAGCAAGTGGGTATTATCTGCAGAGAGCAACTCCCTGAACTCTTAAGAGACCTAAGTCAGAAGTAGAATGATCTGGGGGCCTCAGAGGGTCTGTAGCTACCTGCTACTTCCTGAGTCCAGAGCCCCTGTTGCTGACAGAGTTGTCCCCTGACCCTGACTCAGCCTCATGGGTCCTCCAGACTGTACATTTGTGAACATCTCCTGCTGGGCTCTGGGCCTGCTGCTGGAACGGGTAAATAGATGTGTGAGCGATTCAGGTGGATGCCCCCTGTCCAGTGATTAGAGGGGAAGCTGTGTGGGAGGGAAGTGAGATGGCAGGAAGAGGATGTTGGGAGAAGCACCCAGCAAGGGGGACAGCCTGTGCCAAGCATGACTCCATGCGGAAACTCCTAGTGCTTCAGGGCTGCTAATTTTCCTGCTGAGACAGTGGAAATGACAGAGGCATTTGGGGATGGTCATCAGGGAAAGATCTCAGAGGACTTGTGTCCAGCTGGTGGGGCTTAATCCAAGATGATAATTTGCATGCTCATTTGCATATCTTGTGCATGTTTTCATTTAAAATCAATGTGCCCTTCTCCTTCCAATGCCCCCTGTAGGCCCATCCTGTCCTGGAAGTCCCCTCTCTTCTCCCTATGATCCCAGCAACTGCCCCTTCTACCTGGCTAGCCCCCAGGTCACCTCTCTGTCCTCCCACCACCCCCACCCCCTGCAGTTGATCATGTCGGTGTTTGAGAACAGCATGAAGGAGAGAGGCATTGCTGAGAATGAGGCCTTTGACTGGGAGAAGGCGGGTACGGATGCCCTCCTGTCCACGAGCACCTCCACCCCGCCCCAGCAGAACACCAGGCAGACAGCAGCCATGTTTGGGTAAGTCTCAGGAAGGGTGATGGCAGGTGGGCAGCAGGCCAGCTCTTGCCTGGAGCCACTGCCGAGAAGCCAGCCCTCTCCTCCTCTTCCTACCTGGACAAGCTCAGTTGTCTCTCCAATTCTTGGTACTCACAAGCAGAGTTCTGGAGCTTCAGGAAATTTTGTCACAACTCTAGTCCTTGATCTGAAAGCAGAGTGGGTGATCTCCTCATTTGGAGTTTTTGACCTTAGATCCCTGGGGAACAAGGAATCCTAAGTGAAATGTCCAGAGCCCCATAGTTTCCCTTCTCATCACTCGTTAATTTGCATAGCATGCCTTGGGGGCCCCATAGGGACTAAGAGAGAAGTCAGCCCATGACTTCCTTCAAAGTGCTCCTGCTGGATGTTAGTGACGGCTGGGTCAGCAATTTCAGGACCACATGACAGGCACAGAGTCAGGAGGTCTGGGGAGGGGCTGGACTAGAATGGCTAACCCAGGGCCACATTTAGGAGGGAGACTCCATAGATTTGCCAGCACACTATGGTGTACGGTTCGGTAACCAGGCTGCTTGAGGAGCTCCAAGGTGGTTGTTTTGAGGCCTGTTCCTAGGTCTAAAGGAAGCCGGGCACTGAGGGCCATTAGAAATTCTGAAAACCACAGGATCTCTCGAGTAAATAGAACTGGGACATGCCAGTCTCCAGTGGTCTCCTTGATGACCCTGCCAACTTGAGTGATATGGTCTCAGAGGACTTGTGGGCCAGGGATGGTGATGAGCCTAGGATGCCTCCTCGCTAGGCCTCCTTTGTGCCCACGCTCGGGGGTCTCCAGGGCCTGTTCTGGTAGGAGGGGCCTTGGGAGAAGAGGGCACCCCTGCCAACCTTGCCCATGGCCCCGTCCTGGCCTTTCCAGGGTGGTCAATGTGACCCCAGTGCCTGGAGACCTGCTCCGGGAGAACACGGAGGACGTGCTGCAGGGCGAGCACCTGAGTGACCAGGAGAATGCACCCCCAATCCTGCCTGGGAGGCCCCCTGAGGGTCTGGGCCCTAGCCCCCACCTTGTCCCCCACCCTGGGGGTCCTGAGGCTGAAGTCTGGGAGGAGACGGATGTCAACCGCAACAAACTCCGCATCAACATCGGCAAAGTAACTGCAGCCAGGGAGAAGGGCGAGGTGGCCTCCCTCACCCCGATTCCCAACTCTTGGGTCCCCCACATTGTTCCTCCACAGTGCCCTCTGCCCAGTCCTGGCCCTCTTGCCCTGCCTGCATTTCCTGGTCCCCTCCACCACCCTGACCTTGATCCATCAGCTTCATCATCCTTTTATCCCTTTCACCCTGAGAAAGCCACCTGTCAGCCCCAACTCACTGTATCCCCCTCCTGCAGACCCCCTGTGTGGAGGAGGAGCAGAGCCGAGGTGTGGGAGTCCCCAGCTCCCCTGTGCGTGCCCCCCCAGATTCCCCAACAACCCCAGTGCGTTCTCTACGCTACCGGAGGGTCAACAGCCCCGAGTCGGAGAGGCTTTCCACGGCGGATGGGCGGGTGGAGCTACATGAGAGGAGGTGGGTCTGCCACTGGAGGGGGTGGTTAAGGGTCCCCGTGATCTCCTGCACCTTCACATGGCTGGTCTGCAGGAAAGGTCAGGTGTGAGGCAGAGGCGGGGTGGGAGGGGTCCCTGGGAAGTGTTGACAGTTATGCTCTGCCTGGGTTCAGACTCAGCCTGGGGTCAGTGGTGGCCTGGGAGAGGGCGTGGGACATCCAGAGAGGTCTCAGCTCATGCTAGGTTGGGTCCATGAGGAATGTGGGGAGGGTTGGTGGGTGGGCACGCTTCCAGAACTTTCCTAATCACTAATTACAAATTCCTCAAGAGCAGCTGAAGGTAGGGGTCCTGGAAGAAGGGTTCATGGAACAGCTGGAGGAGAGGACAGGCCAGTTTGGGGGGTTAGGCCTGAGGGATCTGAAGTCAGAGTGAGGGTGGGACCAGCAGGAACATGGCTGGTAGGAGGGAGTGTTGGGGGCTGACTTTGTGTGTGAGGTGGCTTGTGGGGGGCCAGGGCTGGATCCCCACCAGAGTTGTTAGTAGATGGGACAACACCAGGTGAGATGCTTCCTGCCTTTCTGGGGCCTCAGAGTGGGCTCTGCCCCACAGTAGGCCCTGGACCATCTCCATATCAGGACTCACTCCTTCTGTGGAGGAGGATGACCTTCTGACACACACTCAGCATCTTTTCTTGTCACCCATCTCAGCCATAGTCCCTCCTGGACTTGCCCCTACATGTACTCCACCTCCAGGAAGATGCACAGAACCTCTGTGGGGTGTGGACTTGCCCAAGTTAGTCCTCATTCACACTCTCTCACGGGCTGACCTGCTAGGCTCTAAAGACCACTTTTCAATGCTATTCAGCCTGAAGTCCTTCAGCATGGAGAGTTCTGGACATGGGGACACGAGCAAGGGCAGTTGGAAGGGTTGTGAGTGGAGTTGGGGGAGGAGCCCTGAGCAAGACAGTGCTGGCGAACTGCCTGCTTCTGGCCAGCAATGGGCAAGCTGGTTTGGGTCATAGTGAGCCCTACTTTTAGGAATAGTGGGAAGAAGAGGGCTGAGGAGAGAGTTTCTGGACAGAAAGGTTTAGGATCTCATTCGGCAGAGGGTGGGCTGCTTTTGGGGCACTGGAAGCAGGAGAAAGTATGGAGAAGATGAGGTTTGGATTGCCTATCTCTCTGGCCCCGTCTTCAAAACACACATGTGTGCACGCACACACGGATCAGACCTCATTTCCTTTGATGCCATCTTTTTCCTTTATGTCCATCAAAACAAATTATGCTCTCAAGAAAAGAAGTGATGGCCGCCATTGACAGGGGTATATAAATATGAGACACTGGGTGGTGTTTTATTTTAAGTCTCACTAACAGATTGATAAAAAATATGGAGTAGAATTGGATCCGGCAGTTTCTATGCAGGCTGGGCAGGAGTATATTGAGAAAGGCTGCGGGTGGTCCTGTTTTGCACCCTTCCTCTGCAGCTAAAGAGCCATTGAACCACACACAGTCTCGGTGCTGGGGGAGAATTAAAGTCAGCCCTCTGCCCACAGCCAAATATGAGAAGAGGGTCCAGACCCCAGTTGAGTTATACCTTGAGGTCTTCAAAGGGGTATCCCGGCATTCAGCAGATGCCAGTTCTTTCTTGCATAGCATCCTGTCGCTCCACACACACTACTGTATAACCAGAAGTATCCTCATCTTGGGGCTGGCATCACCCCAAACTGAGAAGCTCTGGAAGAACTCACAGATTCACAGCACAGTTCAAAGTAATAACAAAGAGATGTCCCAAGGCTGGATCGTGCCCCAGAGGTAATAGGTTGGAGGGAGTCTGTCCATGCCTGAGAGTTCACAGCCTTATGGGAAGGCAGATAGTTGAAGTCCAGTAGTGAGGGGGGCTCAGGGTGCTCTGGAGGCAAATAACCCTCCCTACAGGATGGGAAAGGCTCCCTATAAAGGTGCATCCAAACACAGAAAAAAAGGTAGAGGGACAGGCTATGTGGGAGGGAGGCCAAGTGGAGTCCAGGCTGTGTGCAGGGAGCAGCATATGTAAGGTTATAGAGGTATGAGAGTGTGGGCAGTTTAGGAAAAGTAAGTGAATCTGAGATGGATCTGGCTAGAGAATGGAGAAACTGAGGCCTAGCCTGGTTGGGAGGGCCCTGAGTGCCAGGCTAAGGAAGGCAGACTTGGTTCTTGGGGCTGAGGAGTTTGTTAAGCTGGGCTAACAGGCCCTTCCTGGAGTGAGCGGAAGCAGCCAGGCAGGCCTGCAGCGGAGCAGTAGAAAGGCTCCAAAGCTGTCTGTAGACTCAAGAGCCCGTTGTTTGTGTTTGCCCTGGATACAGCAGGAGCACTGGATCAGCTGGTTTTAGGAAGGTTAGATTCCCTTGGGAGGCCTGGAGAACAGCCAGTGTTCCTTAGGTACAGGAACCAGAGCTGATTTTCTGCATGTGTACATTCCTGGATCATAGTAACCATTCAGAGGTATTTGCTAAATGAATGAACAAAGGAACTAATGAAGTCTTTTTAGGAAGTGAGGGTGGAGGGTGGCAGTGCAGGAGGTGACTGGGCCTGGCCCAGAGGGGAAGAGGTGCTGTGGTCAGGAGTAGGAGTCCTACTCCACCCTGTCACCTGCTTGGGATCCTTGGGGCTCCAGAGAGGCCTGGCACTGAGTTTTATGTGGGTGCTCCACAGGTCCCGAATGGATTTGCCTGGATCACCTTCGCGCCAGGCCTGCTCCTCACAGCCGGCTCAGATGCTCTCAGTGGACACGGGCCATGCTGACCGGCAGGCCAGTGGCCGAATGGACGTGTCAGCCTCCGTGGAGCAGGAGGCCCTGAGCAACGCCTTCCGCTCGGTGCCCTTGGCCGAGGAGGAGGACTTTGACAGCAAGGAGTGGGTCATCATTGACAAGGAGACAGAGCTCAAGGACTTCCCTCCTGGGGCTGAGCCCAGCACATCGGGCACCACAGACGAGGAGCCTGAGGAGCTGCGGCCACTGCCCGAGGAGGGCGAGGAGCAGCGGCGGCCGGGGACAGAGCCTACTGTTCGGCCCCGGGGACGCAGTATGCAGACACTAGCTGAGGAGGACCTGCGGCAGATGCCGCCTCAGCCCCCACCACCTCAGCTGAGCCAGGCTGATGGCCGGTCAGAGACATCACAGCCCCCAACGCCTGGCAGCCCTTCCCACTCGCCCCTGCACTCGGGACCCCGCCCTCGACGGAGAGAGTCGGATCCCACAGGCCCACAGAGACAGGTAAGGTTGGGCTTGCACCCCACTTCCTGTCCCCAGATTCGAGTCCTGGGGTGTAGGCCTGGAGTGCTCTATGTGCAGCCCCTGCTGCCAGGGAACCCAGCAGTCTCAGGTGTGATGAGATAAACAGGTGTAAGGGCCCGAGACCATGCCTCTGGGGCAGGCAAGGCTTCTAGAGGAAGTGCCCTCCAAGTTCTGAGTTGAGTCTTGTGTTGTGAGCAGTATAACCAGGTGACAAAGCAGGAGAAAGGCCTCCCAGGTCCAGGGGACTGCATGTGCAAAGGCCTGGAGGTAGCAGTCAGAATGCACCGCACTGATTGATGCACGTGGCAGCAGCTGGGCTCTGAGACAGGGTCTGTGGGCACCATGGAGGGGTGGTGAGCCAGCTGAGGCTTTTAAACAGGAGCGTGGCATGATCACTTTGGTACTTTTGAATGATCTCTTGGGCTTCTGTGTGGAAAATGGGTTCTAGAGGCAGGAAGGCCACCTGACAGGCAGTAGCAGGAGAGACACTGGCAGCCTGGACAAGGGTGGGCACTGTGGACATGGGGCAAGGTGGACAGAGCCAAGAGGCATTGGGGAGAGGACAGAAGGGCCGTGATGGAGCAGAAGATGGGGAGGGGTGTCTTGGCGGATGCCCAGGGCTCTGGGGGGGCTGCCGTGCCGTGATGGAGTGCCTCTTAAGGGAGTTCAGAGTTTGACATAACAAGCTCCCAATATCTGAAGGATGTCTGCCTGGAGGCACCTGAGGCTCACCTGGAAGCTCTTTACCTGGAGATTCAGAGTTCAGGTTCTGAGAACCATAGGAATGGGTGATGTCACCCAAGAGGACTGCACAGGGTGGGGAGACCCAAGCATGAGGACAGAAGCTAGGAAACACATCTAGATGACTGAGAAGAAGGGAGCCCTTAATAATGACAAATACTAATAATAATCACCAGGAAGAGGGGACAGAGCATGGGTGGAGCATGAGGGGCAGAGGGTCACCAAAATCAGGAAAGGGAGGGCTGACAAGGAGTGGAGAGGAGGCTGTTTCTACTATCAGTGCAGCTTTCACTGCAGGGAACAGCCCCAAGAGCCAGGGGACAGTGGGGACAGTGGAGGCGGTTCTAGATCGGGCACAGAGGTGGGTGTGTTTGAGGTCTCTGGGAGGGCCCAGCCTTACTGTGGTGTTACCTTCTTGTGTGGGTGGACTGAGGGACAAGATGGCAAGGGCAGGGAGGGGCCAGATGGCGGTCAAATCTCAAATGCTAGGATGAGGGTCTGAGCATGTCTCATGGTATTGTGGTTATTTTTTTCTGACAAGGACAGGGCTTCAGAATAGGTAAGAAGCCACTGGCCTGGCCATGCTTCTGTGTGGTGGGTGGAGGCTGACTTCTGACCTGGAAAGTAGACATAAACTCTTATACTGTGTGCCAAATGGACTCTACAACTCCTCAGAAGGGCTGGGGAGAGCCATGAAAGTGATGCTGGAAGGGCTCGGGGGCGGTGCCCTATTCCACTGGATGGTCCATGAAAGGGCGTGCACCTCAGGTACAGGGCTGAAGGCCAGTTCTTCCCCTTGCTCAGATGGCAGGCCTGGTTTGAGATCACATGGGTCCCCTGGGAAGGGCAGCTGTGGGCATGGGATCATCCCTGTGTGGAGGTCCTGGCTAGAAGAGAGGATCTCTGAACCAGGATCCTGGGGAGTATACCCCCCAACCTTTCCCTGTACAGTGGGGGCTCAAAATGGGGACCAGCTGGCTTGAGTTGGAGGCTTGGCCCTGGCAGGATGTGGACTGGCCCAGCTGTGTTGGGACTTGGTCATTTTTCCCATCAGGGCTGGCACCAGGAAAGCAGGAGAGGATCAAGGTCTGTTTGATGCCTCCGACTCCCCTGTTTCCTCATTCCCCACTCCCTGAGCTCTTGTCATATGCCAGGAAGCAGAGGCGGCAGAGCAGACAGGTGTGATCATAGGTTGTGCCACCAGGAAGTCAAGGAAGCTCCCCAAACAGTCATGCAGCCAGGCATGGGGACACATGCTGGTAATTCCAGCAGGTGGATCACAAGTTTGAGGCCAGCCTTAGCAACTTAGTGAGGCCTTGTCTTAAAATAGAAAATATCCCCACTGGGGATGTGGCTCAGTGGTTAAGCGTCCCTGGGTTCAAACCCTAGTACCAAAAAAAAAAAAAAAAATGACAGCAGGTGTCGGGAGGAAGCCCAAAGTAAAGTCAGAGGCCTCGGTCTGTACCTGGCTCTGCTCATCTTTACTGGTGACCATGGAACAGTCACCACTGTCCCCTTCTGGATCCCACAGCGAGGGAGCTGAGCTATCTCTGAAGTTTTTCTCATCTTCAGATTTTCCCTGATTTCTGGGAACCATCTTCACTTTGGGGACTTCTGGCTAAGGGAGTGAGAGAGAGATTCGGGGGAGTAGGCATAGGTCTGTTATGCAGCCAGCCTGGGCTCAGGTCTTGCTCTCAGCATGGAAGGGGCCATGATGTGTCTGTGGGATGAGGTATTGGTGGGCAGAACTGAGGTTGGTGGCATTCTGTCACCGTGTATGTATATATTTCTGTGTCGGCTGAGCGTGGGAGTGGGTTAGAAGGTGGATGTGCGCCTGGTGAGCACACGCATTGGCAGGTTCGTGGGGAGTGTAGGGGGCTGTGAGTGTGTAGGGATGCCTGGACGCCTGGCATGTCAGAGCAGGAAGGATAACAACAACGAGAATAATAATTCTGAAGACAATAACAGCTGGCACTTGACACTAGGCATTGTCACATTTTCTATGTGCATTCCTCACAACCACACCCTGAACAGGCAACCCTGTAAGTAAGGCTCGTGGCAGCTGTTTTTAGCATAGTGTCACCAGCTGATACATGGTAGGACCAGGACTTGGACCCAGGTGGCTGAGTCCAGGTCTGTTTGTTGAGCAAGCAGAGAAGCAACACAGGATGGGGAAACAGTCTGCTCAGGGTCAGAGAGTGGGTGCCTGGCACCTGTGTGTGTGTGTGTGTGTGTGTATGCATACACACATCTGTGCATGCCAGCTGGCTGGCCCTGTGGGCAGATGTGCCTGTGGGCACGGCTGAGTGCACAGTCGCCTCTGTGTGTGGCTGGAAAGGTGGGAAGGGCATGTTCTACCTGACAAGCAAGACCCTACTTCAAGGGCAGAGGAAGGGGGAGAACTGGACTGGCAGACATTTTTCCTTCTTCCCTTGGGACCCTGAGTGGACTGTTGAGCCTGGCTTGGGGCTGGGTGGAGGCTCCTATCCTCACAGCACACTGGAGGTCAGCTGGTGGGACTCTCCACCTCCAGGGTAACTAGAAGTTTCTATAGGGACAGCCTCCCACCCCCACCCCGCCGCCTGCCATTTTTCTGTAAGGAATCCCTCCCTAGAGCTGGCAAACACTGCAGCTCCATCCCCTACCCCTGTGGAGGGCTGGAGGACAATCCTGTGGGACCAGGTGTACCGTTAAGCACCTGTTGTTCTTCGGTGTGCGTGATGCGGTACTTCAGAGAGATTTCTTTACACACACCTGGCTTTCTTCTTCAGGGAATTTCAGGTGGAAGTTAGAAAGGGCCGAGACAACTAGGGCAGAGGGTACACAGCCAGCAAGCGTGTGATTTGGGAGAGAGCTGTTTACCACCTTTGATGGGTGTGACTGATAACAGCTGGTCAGCTTTCCCAGAGTACACAGACATTTGCTGGGAAGCCACCAAAATATTTCCCCATCATGAGCTGGGCAGTGATCTAGGGACTAGGGGACAAAGATGAATGAGGCTTCATTCACAGTCCTGTGCTTACAGAGCTCAGTCAAACGGGGTGCAAAGGTCTAGAGGTGGACATTTATAATCAGGGTCATCAGGAGGAGAATGGAGAACTCACATCTGCTAGGACAGGGATGTGGGAAGCTGAGGTGTTGTCACAGGGGTGATTTTTCAATGGAGAGTTGAGGATAGGTAGACGGCCCCAGGAGTGCCTGGCCTGAAGGGCTGCAGCTTGCTGGGACTCATTGTCAGCTTTGAAAATCTCCCTGGCAGTTGACAAATTCTGGCTGGGATTTTCAACTCAAGGCACCCACATGTGCTGTGAGAAGGGGCCTGTGGGTGCCTCTGCCCCTCAGTCTCTCCAGGTGGGCCTTGGCTCCTAACCTTACTGCATATGGGACTTGGCCTAGAAGAAACTGGCAGAGGAAGCAGGTAGGGCAGTTGATACTCTTTCTCCCTGCTCTGCAGGAGGTCCCATGCCAAGTCTCTTGTGTCCCTATTTGACACCAGCAAGGGCAGATGGGTCTCAGATGGGGCTGGGTGTCCCCAGTACCCTCCTCCTTCACCCCTAGAGCTGCCTTGTCAGTCCTAACTGCCACAATACAAGCTAAGTACCTGACCTTAGTCCCAGGAGGACTAGGGGTCAGCATGGGAAAGGTCTGTGACACCCAGGTCACCATTTCCAACTCCATGCACCTGGGATACTTCTTTCCCTCTGAGGGCAAGAAGCTCAAGGGCAGGACTCTTCCTGATGCTGAGGAGGCAGCTGCTCCTTCCACTGCTGCCTGCCTGGAGGCTCCTTGGGGAGAGCAGAGAGAGTTAGAGTTGGATTTGCCCCTCCTCCTGACTCCTGTCCTCATTCTCAAGAATGGCTTAAAGGATTCTAAGGTGGCTCAGGAATACAGCACTCACTCTCTGGCAGGCACTATCTAAGTGCTACCAGTGTACACACCTGGCCCCCACACCCTATGAGGTGTGGACCATTCTTCTCCACCCACCTTTTTTTTTTTTGGTACTGGGGACTGAACCCAGGGGTACCTTTACTACTGAGCTATATCCCCAGTTGTTTTTATCTTGAGATGGCATGGCTAAGTTGGGAGGAGGCTGGCCTTAAACTTGTGATATTCCTTCATTAGCCTCCTGAGTCACTGGAATTATAGGTGTGTGCCACTGCACCTGGGTTTTTGGTTTTTTTGCACCTGGATTCTTATCCCATTTTACAGAAGAGGAAGCTGAGGCACAGAGGGACAAATAAATTGAGGTCATTCAGGTAGAGTAAGTGATAGAGCTGACATTAAAACATGAGTCGTTGGACTCCAGAGTCCAATCGCTGTCACTGAGAGTTTGATCCTGTCCTGTGATGGGTCTGGGGTGCCAAGTATGCAAGGAAGGTATGCCTGGTGGGGGGAGAGGCAGCACCCTGCCAAGGTGGCTAGGACAGAGGCAGAGGGCCTTCCTGAGGGGGAGGTTCCCCTGGTGGAGGGAACCCAGCTAGACAGGGGCTAAGTCAAGAAAGCTTCTCAGAGCAGGTGAGTGACCAAGGTCTCTGCTGGGAGACCATGGTGTGAAAAGTGCCCAGAGGAGACTCAGGACAGGGCGCTGGAGGCCAGCGCCGCAGGGGCTGTGAGCGGTGGGTGGCCCAGCTGTCGAGTCTGTGCCTGACGCCTCTTTTCCCTCCACTCTCTTGGTCTCTTTCAGTTGGAGGAGGACAGACTCTCGGGGCACTCCCTCCCGCGGTACAGCCCCCTGCGACGACTGGCGTCCTCCGTGTTCTCCTCCTCCACGCTGGAGACCGAGCATTACCCTCACCCCAGCGGCGGCGGCTCCTCGGGCTCCTCCGGTTCCCTCATTCAGCGCAGCCGCTCGGCCGAGAGCAGCCCCGTGCGGGCGCCCCACCGGCGCCACGCGCCCCTCGCCGCCGGCAACCACAGACTCGTGCCCTCGGTGCTCCGCATCTCGCGGTCCCAGCTGCAGCAGGTGTGGGCCCGGTTCACCCACAAGACCTAGGCTGGGCCCCCCCCCTCCTGGAGGGGGCAGGTGGGGGGGGTGGGGAGCAGGCAGAGACCACGGTTCCTTCCCAGGACGCAATAATCACACCACACACACCCCGTCCCACCCCACCGTGCAATACAGCTCCCCCTAGAACGTTGGCCCAAGGTACTGTAATACTCCTGCCCCCCAGTCTCCGTCCCACCCCCCACCGTCTCCCTTTGCTAGGTGCCAGCCAAATGGTGCTGGAAGGGGTGGGGCTGGCGGTGCAGTTTTGAGGACAGGGCAGGGGCACTGGGTCTGGGGTCCAGTGGAAACCAGGTTGTCAGAGATGAGGTGTACAGGGCCAGAGTCACTCTGGCCTGGGGTTTGTTCCGTTTAATCGCGATCTCTGGGCATGGCTGGGTCTGACCCACTTTTGAATGGCTGGCAGTGGGCTTGTGTTTGGTGTCTTTTATCGGCGTGGGGCAGGGTGCGTGGCCTTGTGGATGGGATAGCGGCCTGAGGCCAAGCTTGGGGTGTGGTGAGGAGGTGTCTCTATACTCAGTGATGGGGAGGGGGTAACCCTGTGATCTGATGAGCCTGTCCCACGCCATCATCACGGAGGCCAGTCACTTTCCTCACACATCTTATCCCAGAAGGCCCAGGGCTCAGTCCTGGGTCAGCTGCCCCTCCCCCAAGACTTATGTGCTGTCACTCACTGCTAGGATTGGTTGTCTAGCTCCAGCTCTTCAGGAGCCACGGATGGTGCAGCAGGGTCAGGGTCAGAGATCTGTTCCTAAAGGCAGAATGGAACCCAACAGTGAGGGGACCTGTCTAGACAAGAGTGCAGATAAGGGGATTGTTAAGGATGAGGAGCTACCTGGGGAGACCTCTGTGCTCATAGCAACACTGGTATCTCAGGACCAATCCCAGGGAGGAGCAGCTCACCTCTGTCCCTCTTAGGAGGTGACTTCTTCCTATAGGTGCTCAGCCAAGCTGATTGGTCCCCAGGGTGGTGGTGAAGACAGAGTAGAGGTAGGCAGATCAGTGGGATCTAGAGATGAATGTGGATCAAAATGATTGATTGCTCATGCCCTTTTTGCCCATTTCTCAGCCCTGAACCTGTCACTGCAGGGATTCCAAGTTTCCCTTTCTTCATTTCTGCCCATGCCAGCAGCAGCTCTGTTCCTTGGGGAATGGGGTTGTAGTTAAGAGGGTGCCAGAAAAGGTAGTACCTGTTTAAGGAGGGGAAGAGACCTGAAGATTTGCAAAAATGTTTATTTCAGTGAGATCCTGTGTGTGTGCTTGTGTGCATGCATGCACACTTGTGAGTGTGAGTGTGCTTGTCATGGGTGTTTGTACCTGTGGCAAGACTGCCATCGATGGATGCTCAGGCTGTGCCCTGCACGGTTCCAGAGAGTGTCATTTGCATAGACCACAATGTGACTGGCACCCATTGAAGTCAGACAGTGTTACAGGTGTGTGTGTTTGTGTGTGTGTGTGTGTGTGTGTGTGTGTGTGTGAGAGAGAGAGAGAGAGAGAGAGAGAGAGAGAGAGAGAGCCAGAAAGATGTCTGTGTGGTTCTTGATAGTTTCCTATGCACTTACCCTCATCCTGGCTCCTCTCTTTACCCTCTTTTCCCTCTGATCTCTCCTTCTCTCCCAACTCCATGATCCATCAACTCCCCAGATGTCTCTGGTTAGAGTAGAGTTAAGGCCCCTGCTTCAGCCAGGGGGGTGCTGTAAGTGTGGTGGGCAGTGTCTTGGAGCCTAGCTGTCCTTACAGATGGCCAGCATTGTGATATGGCCCAGTGGCTATGATCATCTTCCATAGCACCCACTTAATTTGAAAAATCTTTTTTTTTAATTGTTATTTTTTTAAAATGAGAATGGCTGGGCCAAGAGCATTTTTTTCATCTGGCAACAAAAGCCAGACTTGGGTCCTAATACTTAAGTCTCATCCCCACCTCCATTCTGACTGCTCACTTTGAACTTCCCCAGACACAAGCCTCTGTCATCCCAGGGCTGTTCTGGATGGCTCCACAGCCTGCCCAGAAGTTAGGGGAGGGGTCCTGGTAGACCCTTTGAGAAAGAACAGAAAACAAAAAGCACAAAGGTGAGGGGGTGGGATGAACTGCATCCCTACTCTCCTCCTCCCCGCACTGCCCCCCTCTCTTTCCTCTCCCCCCTGGCCTGCTTCCCATCCTCCCCAAGTGGTGGCAGGGGGTGATTTGAGGGGAGTGTGCCCACTCTCCACTCCATAGGTGGAGCACGGGGGCTCCCCCAAACCAAGCACTCTGTTATCTGGCATTCCCTTCCAGAAAGTTCTACCACCCAACCCTGAGCAGATCTTCATCTCGGTGACCTTGAGGTACTCTAAGATCCCAAAGTGCCTTGTGACTTATCAAAGATGATGGCATGGGCTCCAGCCTTGTTTTAGCGTTAAGTATATGTTACTGTTTCCAAAGCCTTTGGGGGTGGAGGACCTGCTAAGCATCCTAAGGTGGGCTGAGTTTTCAAACTCCCACACCCTGAACTGACCCTTGTGAGAGAGTTTGTGTCCTTTAAAGCAAGGCCATGATTCAAAATATTTTGTCCTTTGGGGGACATCCTTTTGCATATCCTCTGTGTTAGAGGAGTGTTTGTAAGCCATAAAGCTCTGAGCTAACAGGAGATGGTCTTGATAACACTATCTTTTCAGGATGGCTTTGACTTTTGGAAATTCTAAGGTCATTTTAATCACTAGAGTTATTCACTAGAGTTCACGTCCATGTAGAGCTGGGTAGAGCCCCTTCCTGGTTAAGGGCTGAGCAGCCATCTCAGGTTCCCAGGCTAGATAGGGGTGCTATGAGCCTCCGGTGTTGTCAGATTCTTTTTCTCTATAGGATTTTCCAAAAAAGCAGGTCAGAATGTTTCCAGAAACGGTACCCTGCTTGGGGAAAGCATGCAGCCTCCCATGGTTAGCTTTGAAAACAGACAGTCCTCTACCTAGCCCCGTACTGGGGATTTAACCCAGGGGCACTCTACCATTGAGCTACACCCCCAGCCCTTTTTATTTTTTTATCTTTGCAACTGGCTAAGTTGCCCAGGGTGGCTTTGAACTTGCAATCCTTCTGCCTCAGCCTCCCAAGTATCTGGGATTACAGGCATGCACCACTGTGGCCAGCTCAAATAGCACTTTGTTGTACTTTGAAAACGATGTTCTCATACGGTGTACTCAAACCCTGCGTATATTGGTGTCTTCCAATTATTTTTTTATTTAATAGTCACTGGCACACAATGCTTATTATCATGTGCCAGGAAATGATCTGAGCACTTTACAATATTAACTCATTTGAACCTCATATAGGCCTATGAGGTAGATCCCAGTATTACTGCATTTAATGAATTAATAAGAACATTTCATTTACACAAACCTATAGGAAAGCCTGCCAATGCTGAATAACTAAGATCATGTTCTGTAGGACTTTTTAAATGTTTTTGTCTGCATAGTAGTTTACTTATTTATGGTCCTTTCTGGTTGGTCCTTCCTCAGCTATATAGGAAGAGACAAGTTGTCTCTGAGCCATTCTTTCCAGATGCAGGTTACTTCAGAGCACTGGGGTCAGTTGAAATGGCTGGACCCTGTTTTTCCAGGACCCCTCCCCCTCAATCCCACATGGCCCCAAATATCCCATAGCAGTCCTGGGAATTAGATGGGTAGATTAAGTTCGGTGAGAAAACAGGTGCTCTGAATCCTGACCTTGGTACTGGTGGAGTTCTAGAGGTCGGGCTCACAGCCAGGGAGATACTGGCATTGCTAAGCACTGATCAGGGGACTCTGAGCCAGTGTTACCAACTTATACAGGAGTGTGATGGAAATGACAGGTTTGGGGTCTGTGGTAAACAGGAAGCCTCCACCCTGGCCACTATCCTCAGACCAGTTGTCACTGTCTTCCAATTTTTATGTGAAATCTCCCAATTTTGAATTGTTGGCATATAATTTAAAACACACACTCACATACACATTTACACACAGACCACAGAACAGTTGTTTTTTTTTTTTTTAAAGAAAAAAGAAAAATCTGTGTGTGAGCCTAACAAAACCAGTTTCCAGGAAGAGATTACCCAAGCTCATAAGCCCCAGGAGCCTGAAGGTCTCCCCAATGCACATACAGCCAGGGCTGCAGTAGAAGGGGCAGCATTCTTCCCAGGAACTCAAACCAGCTGGGCTTCTTAGAGAAGGCAGTTCTCAGCCAGCAGGACTGTGTGGTGTGTGTGGTGTATACGTGTCACGTGGACATGCCTGAGTGTGTGGGGCCACGGGTCTTGTTTGTGGTGATCAGAATAGGACCACCTAGTGGAACCGGTATTTTTTCAGTGGGAGAGAGTGTGTTGTGAGGACTCTGGGTCAGTGAAAAATGTTCTATTAAATTCTCAATAACTAATACACAACCCCACATGCACTCAAGGCAGCTTGTCATAGCAATAACCACTCAGCACTCTTGCCCCCACCCCAATATCCTGAACTCCACACTCTCCCTTTGCATTTTCAATTTGGGGGAAAAAAGACCCACCCAGCCCTGTCAAATGGGTGGCAGAATAGTGGCACCTCTGAGCCAGGCTGGTCCCAGTACCCTTCTTACTGTGTGTCTCCTCTTCCCTGCCTAGGTTCCTTTATCTGGGGAGGTTGGGTGCTGTCTCTGCAGTGGAGTGGGAGGAGCCGGAGTCACTGAGGCAGACAAAAGGAGCTATGTCAATTTATCTGAATGGGGTGGTCAGGGGAAGGGATCATGCTTAAGGGAGGATGTGGCTCTGATTCTGGATGGGGGTGCTCTCGCTATGGGGACACACATAATGTTGTGTCCTCTGCTGTTCCGGGATTGATTTGGTACCTAGGGATGGAAGCATGGACCCCTAAGGAGGACCTGATGCCACTCCACCCCACTGAACCCCAAACTCCACTTAGATCTGGGACACTCCCAACCCCAGGGGCAGGAGCCAGCCTACCCCCATAGTCAGCCTCTGAAAGCTTAAAGCATCCTTCTCACTAAGGGAAAGGCTCCCAGTCTGAAGGCCATATCCCTATTGTTTCTCATGTACCACCTTCTGGGCTTCCTAGCCTAGGATGCCCCTGATTCTAAGTGCCCCCTTCCCCTAAGTAGAGGTGGGGGGAGGAATGAAGCCCCAAGTACTGTGGGAACCTTTCTAGATCTCCTCTCCTACTCCCTGTTGCCGGCAGTCCCACCCTTTGTCCTCCCATCCTGAATAGGCTGGGGGAGTGGGGGTCAGCTGGTCTCACACACGCGCGCACACACGCACACACACATTCATTCTGAAGCTGCACACACACTTCATCCACTCATCCACTCTCCCAACAGCACCCTAGCAGCCCCGTCCGGAGCGCTTCCGGGCCCCTCTTGCAGGTTTCTAACTGTAAAGGGACTCCTACAGCCACATCCAGCTCGGTCCCCTCCCTGGGGACCCGCCCTACTCCCCACTCCGCCTGGCCCCTGCCTCTACCCTCGTGGCCGTCGCACCAAGAATGTACGTTCGGTCTTTTTAACCAGCTGCTACGCGGCGTGACCAGAGTACAGCCCGGCCTCAGTCCCAGCCCCGCGCCCCGCCTGGCGGGGACTTGGTGCCGGCCCCCGCGCCCGCCGAGCTGCCTGCTGCTAAGTACTTAACCTGGGTTAGCGCTCCCCGCCGCCCTGTTCCCGCGCTCCGTTCCGTTTCCGTTTCCCCTCGGCCAGTCCCGGCCCCGCGTCCCTGGCCCCGGGCCAGGCGGGGAGCAGTCGGGACTCGCCCCTCGTCCTGCCAGGGCTGCTGGCAGGCCCGTCGCCCCACCCCAGGTCCCGTTACCTCGCCGCCCACAGGGCTGCCGGCTCCCACAACTGGCCTTGCAATTGGATGCCAAAGAGCCCAGAGTTGAGAGGGAGCAAAGCTTTGAGCCTAGGTCTCTCAGAGCCACCCGACACCCCCTTTTTGTCCACGCCCCAGTCTGCGTCCTCTGCCCCACCCCATCCACAAACTAAGGGCCCTGGGGGTCCCCAAACACACCCCCACTTCCAGCTCTTCCCCCAACCCCATCCCCCAAAATAAAACTCAGGGACCAACATCTGCTTCCTTTGCACTTGCTCCGTCGACCCCTCCCCCGACGTGGAGGGGCTTCTGTGGGGGAGGGGCGGGCTTCCGGGCCCTTAAGAGTTGACAATATTGAGCGAGGAGAGGGGCTGTCCCCTGCCCCATGAAAAGTGAGACTGGCGGGATGGGGAAGTTCAGTCCCGGGGCCCAGCTGAGCTCCCTCCCTCCAGGGACCCGGGTATCCCCTTCTCGGCGTCGGGAGATAATTCGGGTGGGGGGAGGAGCGAGGGATGAGAAAGGGGCTGGCGAGAGGACCTTCCCGGAGGTCCCAAGTCCCAGCCGGTTTATTCCTGAGCCTCCCCCTCCCATCATAAATCCTTCCCCGACCCCCCTTTTTGTACTGCAATAAAACTGTAATATACGCTTGCACTATTCCCGACCCGGCCAGCATAAGCATGCACGAGAAACTCAAAACCACACACACACGAAGATGGGACGCTTTATTTTATTTTATTTTTTTCTTTCCTCTTCCTCTTTCTCTCCGGGGTGCGTCCTCCTTAGTGTACATAGCGGCGTCGGGGGGGGGGGGGAGACCCCCCCCCCCCCGGGCCCGGGTAGAAAAGCATGCACTGAGCACCCCTGCCCCTAGATTGCGAGTACTGTACAAATCCAACACTTGAAACCGACACGCACACGCGCGGCGCCGCCACAGGGGTGGGACACGGACACGTACCCACGCGCACACGGCCGCGCACGGGCGGGGGTGGGGGCGCCCCGTAGTCACGCGTCGCTGTGCGAGGGATCTTGTGCCTTTTTAAGTCCCTGGTATGTTCATGCAGACAATCCGGAGAGCTTGTGTACTACCAAATCCTTATTAAAGACGCCTTCCAGGAACCTGCGCCTTGGCCTGCTTTCTTTCACCCAACTCTTCCTTCCCTCCTAGTCAATGCAGACCTCAATTCTGGGGGCGCCCGCTGGGCAGAGGGCAGCGGCTGGTATGTTGTTGACTCAGGGACTGGTGGGGTCGGGCCAAGTTCCAGGTCTGTGGATCTCCAACACCCGCCGAGGGAGGCGGGCAGGGTCTACTTGGAATTGAGTTACCCGACTGTCTTCTTTCATGGGGGGGAGGTAGTGCATAGACTGGTCTCTAGGTCCAACTCCAAATTCCCTGAGGAGTCCTGCTGTGATGTGAGATCTACTGGATTCCCCCACTGCTTTGTCCCCTCTCCTGCCTGGGAGAAGGGGGAACACTTGGTAGGAGAGAGCACCTAGTACAGGGATTGTGCAGCGGCTGCAGCTGCAGGGATGGAATGTGGGTAGAAGGAAGACTAAGGCAATGAATGACAGCTGTGGAACACTAAGGAGGAGAGAACAGGAGACAGACTGTAGAGACAGGCTGAAGGAGCCAGAGGGACTCTCCTTTTCTGTCCCCCCACCACCAGGAACACTGCAAAAGAAGAAAGTACCTCTCCTCTTTGGAACCAAAGCAAGCATGGTGCTTCCATCTGCTTGAAGGACCAGCCAGGGCTGTATTCACAACCCTCAGGGCATTTTGAAGACACCCCCCACACAGGGACACACCTGTCAGCTCCTGGCCCTGGGCCAGGAGGAAGGTTGGAGAGACTGAGGCCTGGAGGTCAAGGGTGTGAAGCCTGTGGGGCCCCAGCATGAGCAGCTATATTCCCACCTTTGCCTTCCCTGTCCAGAGTGCCCACCTGGGCTGGGTGACTCTTCTGGGTGTGGGTGGCAGAGTGGAAGAAGGACTCTTGGCTTGGCAGAAGTGGGTTTAGAGTGAAGAGAGGGCAGAAAAACAGGGGAAGAATTTGGGTAAAACAGCCATGTGGCCAAAGAGCTGCCAGAGGCTACTTGCCTTTCTTCTCAGACCAGAGGACTCCAGCATGGTGGGGAGGTAGGGGGTGGTTCTCTCAGCAGTTTTGTCTTCCAGAGTGGAGGTGGGGAGGCAGACTGTGTGTGATAGCCAGTTTCTGAGGTCAACCCCTCTCAGGTCCTTCCCCTTCAACCTTGGGACTTTGGGCTAATGTGCTACACTGTCTGGGCCCGGCCGGGGTCCAGACAAGAGCTGCCCTATGCACCCTGTGTGGGCACTGGGATGCAGGTATGTGGAGTAACTGTCCCCAGTGTCAGTGTTACAGAAGTCAACATGGACTTGGCTGGACCCTGAAGCTGGCGGGGCCCAGACCTCAGTCCTCTCAACTGGGCTCAGTGGAGGGAAAGATGGGACTGGGGCGTTTACCCTCTTCAAGGGTCTCTGCTTGAATGGCCTGCTCCTTCTCCCCCATTATCCAACCCTTGCCAATTCTGCCTTTTGCTGAACTCAGTCCAAATCACCAGGGAGTTTTAAAACAGCAGGAGTTCTGGGCCTCAATGCTGACTCACAGATTTGGGGGTGGGACCTCGGGCTCTGCACTTTAATTTTTTATTTTTTGTACTGGGGATTGAACCTGGGGCCCTCAACCACTGAGCCACCTCCCTAGCATGTTTTACTTTTTATTTGGAGACAGGGCCTCACTAAGTTGCCTAGGGCCTTGTTAAGTTGTTGAGGCTGATTTTGACCTTTTGATCCACCTGCCTCAGCCTCCTGAGCCTCTGGGATTACAGGTGTATGCCACTGTGCCCAGTGGGCTCTGCACTTAAAAAAAAAACAAACAAAAAACAGAAATGCTGTTCCAGGCCAGGCCTGGGAGCCACATGATGCAAATTCTTTCACTGCCCTAGAAAGAGAGTAAGAAGGTCTGAGACTGGCCAGAGCTGACTGGCCTTTGCTAGTACCCAGCACAGGTGGGGTAGAGCAGTGTCATAACCGTGCCCTTCCCGTGGTGTCCTCAGGCTTCTGGGGCCAAGTATACAGAGGACATCCAGAGGTGACTGACTGAGTGAATGAACACAACAAGATCAAGGGGCAAGAGCTCTCTGGGCACCCAGGGAAGGTAGGGAGAGGGCTAGGCTAACTGAGGAGGGAGGAGCCCGAGCCAGGCCTCTGTCCTTCCCCAGCTTGGAAGCAAAGCAGGGGGGCTTTGAAATAGAAAATCCAGCTTGTCTAGACTGCTGTGGAGAGGTACTGATCCTGAAGTCACAGTCATTTCTCCCAAAGGGCAGAAGGTCTCAATTCCCCTGCCAAGGGATGGGGTGGGAGGCCACTGAAGCACTGGAAAGAGTTCTAGGTCCTGGGCCACCTGGTCAGTAGGCTTCCTGATTTGGAACAGTATCCAAATCAATTCCTCTCATCAGGTCTTGGTGACCTGGTCTGGTTTTATGACAAGCAACTGATTTCAGTTCTTGTTCTTCCTCTCTCCCAGGCAGTAGGAGGGGACGGCCTTGAGATGAAGGAGAGAGGGTTCAACCTGCAATCATCTACTGTGGGCACTGTGTGTGAGGGTCCCATCCTCTGGACGGGACTTCTCCACAGCAATCCAGGGCTTGGTCAGCTGGCAGTGGAAAGGATAGTTCTAACAATGATGTCCAAGAATTCAGCCATGGGATAGAGCAAACAGAGAGGTTCTTCACAGAAAGTGTGACCAGGTGCAGCCAAAGGACACTCCTGTTGGGTGGGATGTGTCTGGTGCTAGGAGGGCAAATTCCAAGCTAGGCAAGAGAGAAACATGACCAGAGCTCTGCATGTCCGTCTGTCCCTGGTTCTTAGTGCCATCGCCTCCCACTTACCCAGGAACTTACAATAGCCTCCTTCCCCTCCGCCAGCCATTTTCTCTAGCTTTAACATCCATAAGTGAATGGGGCAAGATGCCCCAACATGAGACCTGGCACAGAGTCAGTACTTAACGTCTGCTAACCGAGTGAATGGATGAGTGAGAATGAATGAAGGGGATGGATAAAGAAAACAATTTCTGGGGACTTCCAGCCTGGATGTGGACAGGATAAAGTTCCAAGGATGTTCCTTGCCTGGCCCTTCATGGTGTGCTGGGGTCCCGCAGGGCCCAGGACTACCTTGTCTTGAATTACTCCCCCTCCCCAATTAAGTCCTCAAAGACAAAGGCGTGGATTACAAGGAAGATGGTGGCATTTGGGCAGGAGAAGACACAACCTTGGTAGATGCTTGGCCTTGGAGCTTCCTGCCTCACCCTCCACCAGCTTTGGTATTGGCATAGGAGCCCCAGTGGCAGAGCTTCTCCTGTTTCCACCCCACCCCCATAGGTGTGGGGTCCCACTTTTCTGAAGTTGGGGAAAGGACAGTGATTACAAACCAGACAGAGTAGAGTAGGGAATAGGAAGAGCTGACATTTACTGAGTTATCCGGAGGCCCACTGCTATACAAACTGGTTCATATAAGCATATATAGGATCACAACCTTTGTGGAGTGTCCATCATCTCATTTCTTTTTCTGATGTAGACATCGCATTCATCATGAAACCAAGAACCATATCTATCTTGTTTAACATTTGATCCACAGATTCCTAGCCTATAACATGGTAAACAGGACAGCACACATTCAAGGACCACTTTTTTTCTTGGTTCTAAGGATTGAACCCAGGGGCACTTAACCACTGAGCCACACGCCCAGCCCCTTTTATTTTTTATTTAGAGACAGGGTCTCGCGAAGTTGCTTAGGGCCTCGTTAATTTTGCTGAGGCTGGCTTTGAACTTGCAATCCTTCTGCCTCAGCCTCCTGAGCTGCTGGGATTATAGGTGTGAGCCACCGTGTCCAGCTTCGAGGACCACTTCTTAAATGAGTGAATGAATGAAAAAACCCTCCAGGGCTGGGGCTGGGACTCAGTGGCAGAGCACTTGCCTAGAACGTGTGAGACACTGGGTTTGATCCTCAGCACCACATAAAAATAAACAAATAAAATAAAGGCATGCTGTCCATCTACAAATATATAAAAAAAAAAGAAGGAGGGGGGAAGGAAGGAAGGAAGGAAGGAAGGAAGGAAGGACGGACGGACGAGCGAGCCCTCCAGGGGCTCTGTTTATAAGAGAAAGAACCATGTGAACACACGCAGATAGAAGATGTGGGTATACAAGAAGGAAGGAGAGAATCATGAAGTCTGATTGATGGGTGGACAGGAAAGCTTTGTGGAGGAAGAATGGCTGAAAAAAGAGGAGGATTTTATCACATGAACAGAGAGGATTTGAGGGACCCCGGGACAGAAGAAACTGCCTGGGCAAAGTGTGAAACGTTTGATGTGTCTAGAGAAGTTCTGGCAGCATCAGAATAGCTGGGCCACATGGCAGGGGACTGCAGTAAGTGAGGCTGGAGAGAAGTTGGGAGCCAGAGTGGGTGGGGCTGGGGTTGTGTCAAGCCAAGGATGGGATCTGTCTTCTGAGGACTGTGGGATCCAATGCAGGTTTGCTATAGAGATTGAGAGAGTCAGATCTGAGTTCCAGGAAGATACTCAGGCAGCTCCAAGAAGGACGGATGGCAGGGCAGAGAGAGTTCAGGATGGAGAGAGCAGGCTGGGGAACCACAGGCAGGATCAGTGGTGCTCACGGGCTGCGGGGAGCAGACATAGCGATGATTCAGAGGGATTGTGGATAGACCAGAAGCAGGGGCTTCTGGTCTGGATGGGCTGTGTTCTGTTAGTTCAGGAAGACAGAGGCCCAGTATATTCAAAAAGGCTAACAAAGTGCCAGCCACTGTCAACAACATCCCAGTGGGGAACAAAGCCCTGTCAGCCACAATGGGCCCAGTGCACTGTGGGCACTAGAGATGTTTGTGGACTGAGTAAGTCCACGATAGATTTGTGGGGTGAATGGGACCCAGGAGGTGAAGGAGACACAGCAGGTCCTGATAAGGTGGACTTTCTAGTCTGGAAGGAAGCAGACCAAGGGAGGATGTGGCCGGCATCTAAAAATCCAAAAAGAGGTTTGGCCATTACTTTGCCAAGGGCTCTGCATGAGACTTCAAAGTGAAAAACTTAGTTGAGTTGAAATCTATCTATGAGGGCTGGACAAATTCCTGGCTGACAGGTCAGGCCAGCGCAGGAGGGAAGAGGATTGGTGCTCCAGAGGCCCAGCCTGCATTTTTGAGTGACAGAGTACAGCTTTATGTTCACCCTCACTGAACATAGGTTCTGGTGACCATGGGCAGTCAGCTATCTGGCTGTAGAGAAGCTATTCCCAGGGAGGGATAGAGAGGGCTAGCCATCCATGGCCGGCACGGGCATGCCCCTCTCAGAAAGTGACACAGACTCTTGCCGCCCATCTCTGGGCCTGGTTTCCTCATCTCTCAAAGGGAAGGTAGATGTAAATTGTGGCTATGGTAACTTCTGGTTCTTGTTTTCTGCTATCAACTAAACTCTACAGTTGGCTCTGGGGTTTGGGATCCACATAGTGAAGGAAGGAGTGGGTTAAATGGAGAGGGCAGGGAGACAGAAAAGCCATTAGGATCAGGGTCTGGGACCTAAAGGGACCTGGAACTTGGACTCAATCATTCTTGAGAGATTTATTGAGCACTTACTAGGTGCCAGAGATCACTCTAGGGCCTGAGGATATAGCAATGAATGAAACGGACCCAGGGCCCCCCTCTGCAGACTCACTTTCTGGTGGCTGCACCTGGGGGCTGGGGGGGTCTCCCAGCTTGTGGATGCAGTTGAAGTCTTCTCCAGGAAAAGAAGGTGTATAATCTCAGCAGTCCCTATGTGTGCCCTTTGCAGGTGTTCTCTGTGGCACCCCCGTTTGAGATGAATGGCCTCCCGAGAGCTGTGCCTCTGAGCTTGCCCTACCAGGACTTCAAGAGAGACCTCTCCGATTACCGAGAACGGGCACGGTTGCTCAACAGGGTCCGGAGGGTGGGCTTCTCGCACATGCTGCTCACCACCCCCCATGTCCCGCTGGCTCCTGTTCAGCCTCAGGCTAATGGGAAGCCGGAAAAGGAGGAGGAGGAGGAGGAAGATGAAGATGAGGAAGAAGAGGAGGAGGAGGAAGAGGAGGAGGAGGAGGAAGAGGACGAGGAGGAGGAAGAGGAGGAGGAAGAGGAGGAGGCAGTGGCCCTGGAGGAGGTACTGGAGCCCCGCAGTGGCTCTAGCAGTGACGGGAGCGAGAGGAGCACCGACCGGAGCCAGGAGGGGGCCCCGTCCACACTACTAGCTGACGATCAGAAGGAGTCCAGGGGCCGGGCCTCCATGGCTGACGGGGACCTGGAACCTGAGGAGGGCTCCAAAACGCTGGTGCTCGTCTCCCCTGGCGACATGAAGAAGTCGCCCGTCACTGCCGAACTGGCCCCCGACCCTGACCTGGGCACCCTGGCTGCCCTCACTCCTCAGCATGAGCGGCCCCAGCCCACTGGCAGCCAGCTTGACGTGTCGGAGCCAGGTACCCTGTCCTCCGTCCTCAAGTCTGAGCCCAAGCCCCCGGGGCCTGGAGCAGGGCCAGGAATGGGGACTGGTTCCACAGGGACAGCGGGTGTGGCAGTGACTTCCTCACCCTTCACCAAAGTTGAGAGGACCTTTGTGCACATTGCGGAGAAAACCCACCTGAACGTCATGTCTTCCGGAGGACAAGCCTTGCGGCCTGAGGAGTTCAGCACTGGGGGCGAGCTGGGTCTGGAGGTGCCTTCTGAGGGGGGCATTATGGAGGAGGGGGCTCCAGTGCCCCTGGAGAATGGCATCGCCCTGTCAGGGCTGGATGGGGCCGAGACGGAGAGCTGTGCCCTGTCTGGACCTCCAGGAGAAACACCCTCAGAGGTGGCCACGGACTTACTGCCCAATGGCCCAGCCTTTACTGACGGGCCAGTCCTAGCATCATCCCCACCAGAGCCAGGCCCTGAGAAAATGGCCACCATCTCCCCCAGCCGCCATGCCAGACCAGGCCCTCGCCCCAGGAGCCGTATTCCTGTCCTGCTGTCTGAGGAGGACACAGGATCGGAACCCTCAGGCTCGCTGTCAGCCAAAGAGCGGTGGAACAAGAGGGTCCGGCCACAGCAGGACCTGGCACGGCTGGTAATGGAGAAGAGGCAGGGTCGTCTGCTGTTGAGGCTGGCCTCAGGGGCCTCATCCTCCTCCAGCGAGGAGCAGCGTCGTGCCTCTGAGACACTCTCAGGCACGGGCTCCGAGGAGGACACGCCTGCCTCAGAGCCCGCAGCAGCAGCAGCCTTGCCTAGGAAAGTCGGGAGGGCAGCTGCCACCCGGAGCCGGATTCCCCGCCCCATCAGCATCCGCATGCCCACACCTGCCGCAGCCCAGCAGCCCCCAGGCAGATCCCATGGTGCGGCCCCAGCATCTGACACAGCCATCACCAGCAGGTGAGAAACCCCTGCCAGCCCCAGGGTGGGCAGAGGGTGACCACAGAAGCCTCTACTAGTAGGGGCTTCCCCAGAGCCAAAGCCAAGGTTAACCTTGGGCTATGGAAGATTCAGGAGGGACCCTCAGCTTTACTTCCAGTCTACTATTTCCCAGCTGTGCTGTCTCACTTTTGATTCAGTTCAGTCCTGTCCCTGGGCTCAAGGGAGTTTAGCTATGGTGAGCACATCTGGAGAGGGTGCTAGGGAGGTCAGGCTTAGGAAAGGTTGATGGGGACCAGCGGGGTTCACATTGTGAACCACTGGGGCATTTGAAGCAAAGGATAAAGCCCAGAGCTTTGAACAGTTGGGAGAAAACACTATTTTATATTAATACAAACACAGTTTATTTCAGATTAGCATGAGCATTTTAAAGATGAAACTGGGCCCTCAAAGAAAGCCTGCAGCAGGCTCTTTGAGCCCTGCCTAGGGGTGTGAGACTCTTAGGGGTCCTGCCCAGGAAGGAGGGAGCACCAGGGCTCCCTTTACTCTTCTGTGTCTGGTCTCTTCAGTCTCATCTGGCTCTGGGGATGCAGGACTCAAGGGATGCAAGCCTCTAGGGACGAGTGCCACCAGCGTTCTGAAAATGTCTCTCCTTTTTTGTTTCTTTGCCCTCTTCTTTTCTGTTGCCTTCCTTCTGTCCTCTGATCCTCAAACAGGCTCCAGTTGCAGAAGCCCCCAGGGTCGGCCCCTGCTGCTGACCCCCGTCCCAGTTCGAAACAGCTCCCAGGTCGCGGTCCTGGCACAAGGCGAGCCCAAGCCACCAAGCCCCCCGCGCCCAGCAGTCCTGGCCTCCCCACCTCGGCCCCACGCCATCCCAGCGCGTCCCCACGGAGCCAGTCCCTGTCCCGCAAAGAGAGCCCCTCCCCCTCTCACCAGGCCCGGTCTGGGCCTCCCCCACCCCGGGGTGTCCTCCAGGGCCGAGCCCAGCCGGATGGCACCCCTACCCCCGGGGGAGCCAAGAAAGGACCCAGAGGGAAACTTCAGAATCAACGCGCAACAACCAAAGGCCGGGCGGGGGTCGCGGAGGGCCGGGCCGGGACCAGATAATGACGCCCGCGGCTCTCTTCGGCCCCCAACCCTCACCCCGGCCCCCGCCCGCAGCCGGCCACACTGGAACAGCTTCCAGCACAGCCTTACGCGCCCTATGCGCGCCCCAGCTTCCCGCCTGCACCTGCGAGGACGTGCGCGAGCACACGTCGCACCCTTCTGGCCCTGCCAGGCCAGGGGAGGGGAGTAGCTGTCTCTCCTTCCTCTCTCCGCGTCCTCCCCTCCTCCTGCTGTCCCTCTGCCCGGGCAGGCTCATGACGACCCCTCCGCCCGGGAAGGCTCAGCCATCCCCCACTCACACACCAGGCCCTCGCTGCTCTCCATGCTCCCCAGGGGTCTCTGCTTACCCTTCCTGCAGCATCTTCCCTCCTTCCCTCTTCCAGTCAATGCTCCCTCCCTCCACGAAACAGCCTCAAATTCCAGAAGTGGAGACTCCAGCCTCCCCACTGTCTCCTGTGGTGGCCAGGGAAGGCCTCTCAGCTGTCAGCCCCATGGGGTTGGGAAGGTGGGACCCTGGGGCCATGGGTATACTCAGGTGTGAGGGGACTGCTCTGACCTGCCCCAAAGTCAGCTCCATCCTGGGCAGTGGGCAGGTGATTCTTGCAAGGGGACGGGGTTCTTTGTACATTTGGAGTGCAGAGACCCCTATCCTCCTAAACTTGGGTGGGGCCATGGGGACACAGTGGGAGGAGTGTGGGCTGCTTTCTGGGCAAGTGTTTCCCCGTGGAAATTTAGACAAAGATTTTAAAAAGGTTTCACTCTCTCTCCCCCTGTTCCCCTGATATAGTACTGCTCAGGACCCCTTCCCATCAGGAATTCCTTCCTGCCCTCTAATTTCAATCCTGCCTATTGCAGTTTCAGCCAGCTCCCATCTCTCCTGAGTTCCATGCAGGTGGAGAGTGGCTATTTATCACCTTCTCTGCTCTGGCCCTTTGGAGATTCAAGGTCTGGGTTCTGGTTGGGTCACTCCCTGTGGGGAGTAGGCTGGGTCAGACATCATCTCCCCCAAGGGCAGAGGGAGCAGGAACTGGTGGACTGACAGTTGGTCCCTGGAGGCAGAACGTCCCTTCTAACTTTCCGATTGTGTACTTGTGTGTTGGGTCTCTAGCTCATGCCCACTCCTCCCAGCTCACCCTTCATCCTGTCCCTTCTTGTCCTAAACCCAGTCCATGCAGTGCCACTGCTCCGTGGAGCATGAATGTGGGGCCTCCTCCTGGGTTCTGGCTCCAGCATAGCTCATCCCACCTCATCATGAGCCTCAACTGCCTACCTGTGGGGCAAGCAGCCCACTGGCTGCTGAAGAGACAGTCAACCCTGCCCATCTGGGACAGGGCCCCGGCAGGGCTCCTCCATCCTCAGCACCTATAGACTCTGTCCCCTGGCCTGGCCCCTCTGTCCTTCCCTGAGCCATAGAGAGCAAGCCAAGATATTAGGGGGAAGAGGAAAAGAGGCTTCAGCCTGCCCCAGAAGTCTGGCCACATCCAGCCACCATCACCCAGAAGGACACCTAAGAAGAAGCTGGCCCAGGAGCAGACTGGTGGTGCCAGTTGAACTCCCTCATGGAGAGTCAGCAGGCTCAGGCAGCTGCTTCCATGCCAAGGGGGCACTTTCTCTGCAGACCAGCCCAGGGGAGGACACCACAGTGGACAGTTTTTGAGGTCCATCCCATGCTGATGCAGAAGCTTCCAGAACACTCAGGAAAACCTCTTCAGACACAGCCCTTCTTGTCAACCTGAGGCCCTCCCAAGGCCCTCTACCACCCTCTGGGTCCAGCAGAGGGGGTGGAAGAGGGGCCACTCCTTCCCACCTAGAGCTTCTCTGAATGACAATCAGCTCCTGCCAGATGGGAACCAGGGCAATGACCCCTGGTGCCCAGGCCCTGGACCTGCTCCTTGCTACCAACCGAACTGTGAATGTAGGGCCCCCAGCCTCACCTCTGCCCTAGGATCAACAACACCCTGGATTGGAGTTGGGAGAAAGAGGGTGTTGAGAGAGCCCCAGGTCCATCCCACCCCCAGCTTCTCCCAGCACCAGAGCTGGCTGACAAAACCCAGTCTGCCCTAGACCTCCCTAGGGCACCCAACCGACCTCAGGCCTGGCCTCTGAGTCACTGAATGTTACCAGGTAAGGTAGGAGGAGGGAAAGAGCCAGTGTGGGGGGTAGGGGTGTGGCTAGGGGACTGAGTCTGCTTCTCTCCCTAGGAAAGATCCAGGGAGATCCACACCTCCCAGTGCCCCCACCCTCAGCTGCTGCCTCTTTTTCCCTGAACATCCATCCCCTGCATCAGGCCCTCCAGGTCTTGAGTTCCTCCTCTATAAGAGTGTTACACTACCACCGCCACCATACCCCACTTCCCCCACACCTCCCCATCACAACCGCCTATGTCACTGGCTCTGATGTGGGGTGTACTCACCTCAGAACACACCTCCCCTCCCCAGTCAATCTATGTGCAAAGGGGGCACAGGAGAAAGGCCTTGCCCCAAGTACATGGGCTTCCTCCTCCCCAACTCCTTCAGGGGCCTGGTTTGCTCCAGGAAACAGCCCTGTGAGTGTTGTGGGGAGGGACAGGGAGTTGCCCACCCTCTACTGTGGGAAGCCACCGAAGAATGTTTACATGCCAAACAGAATGTAACACCTCTCCCCCACCCCTCCCCAGTCACTGCATGGCCTCTGCCTATTCCAACCCATCTATCCCCGCCCCAACACCCTGGAAGCCGCTGTCATGATTAGATAGGGTCTTGGAAGGGAAGTAGCCATTACACCATTAAAAAGCCTGTGGACCTTTCTGTTGGCTTGGACTCTTCTTCCCTTTGGGCAGAGGGAGGGCAAAACCCAAGCCCTGGGAGTGGGATGGGCAGGAGAAAAGAGGACAGGTTGGTGGGCAAATGGGCAGGGACTGTACTGGAAGCTGACACTGTCTCTACAGAGGAGGATGGAAGCTCAGGATGGATACAGGTCATACAGGTGGAAGGAGACTGTCCTGTTAGCCTCCTGACAGCAAAGCTTGGACTTTCTCAGCCCCTTGGTTACCTCTGCTGAGGGCCAGAGACTAAATCTTGGCTTTGTGCAAGAGGGAGGGAGGAAGAAAGAATTTTCATTGCCCTAAATGTAACAAACAAAAAGGAGAGTGTTGGGAAAACCACAAAGTACAGCAGCTCACAGGCAAGGTTATTATAGCAAAACTTGTCAAAATCACAAATGAACATAGCCTTTGACACAGTGTCTCCACTTCTAGAAATTTACCCTAGGGATGTACTTGTACACACTAATTATGTGTGTCCAGAGTTATTCACTGAAGCTCTTTGTATTGCACCACAGAGCCTCACCTGTAATTCCAAAACCCCCAAAGTTCTGAAAACTGGGAATTTTTTCATTAGATTGGTACAAACTCACTTGATATCAAAACAGGACAGGATGGTTTATAATCTTTATTAATTCCACTTATCATACATGTTTTCAGTGGAAATATGAATGTTTTTGATTATGGGGCACTGCTCTAGATTCTATTAGGGTATTTCATAATATAGGGAATATGCACTGAATTACCTTTTCTTTCTTTTTTAAAAAATTATTTCTGTCTCTGATTTGGATAAGAAACTGTGGACCTATAAAATAACCGTTCCACAGCACCCTAAATGTTCATTAATTGGGACTGGACAACAGAGCATGGCCCATGCATGTGATGGGGACCCCAATCATGGGGTACTATGAGACTCTAAAATGGAAGAGGCAGCTCTTTATATACACTTATGGGCCAGTTTCCATGACGACAGGATATGGTACAATTCTTTGGGTGGAACAGAGCGTGAGATGAATCAGCAGTCTCTGGTCACCTCAGGAAGAGAGGACCCAGGTAGGGAGGAAGCTGTACTGTTGGGTGTGCTACCTTTTGCATTTTGAATGCTAAATTCACTTAGGAGTGGAACTTTCACCTAGTGAATGCATAAACGATTTCTGTCCCAAGCCCAGGCTCTGTGTAGCACTGGGATGGCAGTGAGGGGGAAGGCTCAAGCTCCAAAGCCCTACTGTCTCTGAGGAGGCCACCATGGTGTCCTGGGACCGCCTTTTTCCAACACAGTCACTAGTGGGGTCTAGGGTCTTCAGTGGGCCCCCCTGTGCTTTCACTTTCCTTGTTTAAAATGTCAAAATCAGGAATACTTGTAGTAAATGCCAGAAGCATATAAAATAAAATATCAAGACCCCATCCATGAATGCAACTCTTGTGAACAGCTTGGTGTATATCATTATAGATCTTTTTTTATGTTTATAATAACTCTTCTGTCTATCCATATATGTAAACATTTCTTATAAATAAAAAGGAAGCATATTATACCTACTATTCTGAAATGTGATTTTATGCCTAACAAAGTCTTGAAATACAGGGCCCCCCTCCCCTTTTATCTTTTTTTTTTTTTTTTTGGTACTGGTGATTGAATCCAGTGAGTGTTTTACCACTGAATCACATCCCCATCCCTTTTTATTTATTTTTTTATTTTGAGATAAGGTCTTGCTAAGTTACTTAGGTCCTCACAAGTTGATTGAGGCTGGCCTCAAACTGGCAATTTTCCTGCCTCAGCCTCCCAAATTGCTGGGATTGTAGGCATGGGCCACAGCATCCAGTTATCCCAACTTTTTAAAGTGAACTTATTGAAATATAACTTACATACCATTCAATTCACCAGTTAATATTACTATTTAATGTTTTTTTAGTATTCATAGAGTTATGCAACCAATTTTAGAGCATTTCCAGGGCTAGGGATGTGGTTCAGTGGTATAGCATTTGCCTTGCATGCCTAAGGTCCTGGGGTCAATCCCCGGTATTTCAAAAAGACTGGGAAAAGAACTTAAGCAAAGGAGCACAGGTGACCAATAACATTTCCATCAACCCAAATAGAAACTCTACCCATTAGTAGTCATCTCCTCCCAGAAACCCCTATAATGCTAAGCAATCACTAATCTACAGTTTATTTTCTTGCAGTACTGGGAATCTCATGCATGTCAGGCACACACTGTAACACTGAGTCACATCAATTGATGTGACTATTTATCAATTTATCAATTGATTTGCCTATTTTAGATATTTCATATAAATGAAATTTTATAACTCATGATCCTTTTGCAACTGCCTTCTTTTAAGTGCACTTGCTTCACATGTATGAGGCACTGGGTTTGATCCTCAGCACTATATAAAAATAAATAAACAAAAGTATTGTGTCTTCTAAAACTAAAAAAAAAAAATGTATTTTGTTCTTTTTTTTTTTTTCTTGGTAGTAGGGATTGAACCCAGGGGCATTCAAACTAAACCATATCCCCAGTCCTTTTAATATTTCATTTAGAGAGAGGGTCTTGCTGAGTTGCTTAGGGCCTTGATAAGTGCTGAGGCTGGTTTTGAACTTGAGATCCTCCTGCCTCAGCCTCCCAAGCTACTGGATTTACAGGCATGTGCCCATGCTTGGCCAGGCAATTTTATTCTATTTTAAAATTTCTTTGATTATTACTGAGATTGGATTAATCAATGAATGCCATGGACTCTTTGTTTATTATTTATTAGTCAGTAATTCATTCACTCACCCACTTAGTCAACTAATCTTGTAGACTATTGCTGAGACCCACGTACACCAGAAGCTATGCCAGACACTGAGCACTGAGACAAAGCACAGCATGTTCTCCAGCAAGTGGGTAGAAATGACCACTTTACACGTGGTAAGTGCTTTGATACCGAAGGTCAGGGAGGAACTCCCAGCCTAAACTTGGAGCATCAAAGAAGAACCCCAATGTATGTTCTTGGACTGAATTTCGAAGGCCACACAGGAGTTGGGCAGCTGAAGAGGAGAAAACAATGCCTAGCAGAGGGAGCAGTGTGGTGGGTTACAGGTGGGAAGCAGGAAGTGAAGGGGGAACAGGACCAGGCCCGGCCTGGACAGGCCATGCCAAGAAAAACAGCATTCAAGGGTGATAGGAACTGTCCATCCATCCCCCTCCCAAAGAAACCTGAGACCTCCCAGCCACTGTTCACTTTTAAGGCCCAGCTTGGCTGTCAGGGACTGCCCAATGCCCCACAGTGAAGACCTGCCTAGCCCTCGGCACACCTTCTCCCCACTCTCCCCTAGAAAGACATTTCTGCTCTGTCCTGTCATCAAAGATAGTCTGAAGACAGGCACCCAGAGAAATCAACAGCATGGGCAAGTTTACACACTCAGGGTCTTCATGGGGGCCACAAGACCAGGGACATTGGGAAAAGTTTTTGTTAGTAGAGAGGGGGGCCCTGGAGGACACCCTGGAGAAGAGACACAATCATGGGAATGTGGAGAGAGAGGAGCAAAAGTATAAAGGCTTTAAGTGTAGGAAGCAAACGCAAACAGATTTCATTGTTTCTCGCAGGAACTTATTCTTCCCCAAAGCCTACTACTTATATTACAAGTCTAGAGGTAATTTCAATTAAAGAATTATTTTTCCAAGGCTTCTTTTCATTCAGTTAGGTATATGTGAAGGTCTCTAACTTGGCATCTGAATTCAAAATTGGATTCCCAGTTTGAAGGGAGTGGAGGAACAGTCAAAAATCCAATCAAACCAGCTCTTAACTGTTTTTTGTTTGTTTTGGTTTTTGGTTTTTGGTACCAGTAATTGAACGCAGGGATATTTGACCACTGATCCACATCCCCAGCCCTATTTTTTGTATTTTAGACAGGGTCTCACCGAGTTGCTTAGAACGTTGTTTTTGCTGAGTCTGGCTTTGAACTCACAATCCTCCTGTCTCAGCCTCCTGAGCTGCTGGGATTATAGGCTCGAGCCACCTTGCCCAGCTTCTTAACTGGTTTTTCAGAGTTGATCTGTCCTCTCATACTCAGTCTATGACATCAGAGAGTGGCCAGCCACATGAGGTGGAGTCAGGGAATGGGATAAAGCCAGTGGTGCAATTATTGCTAAATTGTTTTCTGTAGAAAGGGGCTACACATTTATATGTGTATACTAGAAGCTAATATAAAGAGAGAGGTGACCATTGTATGATTGTCAGCTATTTCTGATATTAAAGGAGGAGAGAAAGTCCCACTGGGTACATTAAGGCACACAGCCAATGCCCAAGATTAGCCTCATTAACTGCTCTGTGTAAGAACCTTAGATTATTCCACTGTGGAGCTGCTGGATGTGCCATGGAGATGAGGTGGCCAAAAACCTTAACTTCTCAGGAGTTGCAAATGGTTATAGTATTTTATACTATACTATAAAATTAGTATAAATAATATGATCATATAGAATTAAATAAGTGAGGAACCAACAGTGTGAAGGGTCACAAGTGGGTGTGAGTCAGAGAGACAGAAGGTATTTCCTTTTGAGCTGGTCTTCAGGGAGTCTAGGCACCCACCAGGTGAATAATAAGGAAGCTAGTGCTACCCAAGGATCAGGGCTGAGGTGTGAGATACCAACTGGCTAGTGTTTGGAGAACTGGAGGGAATGGGGATCCTGGGGAGGGGTCAGAGATGGACTGGTGAGTAGGTGGTTTGGGGAGTAATATGGGCCAAGCTGAGGGCTGGACTTTCACCTTCTAGCAGTAGTGGCTGGTGGAATTTTTTAAACAGGGATCAGATTTGCATTTCACAACGCACATTTTGGGGTGCATATGTGTGTGTGTGGTTTGTGTAACTTATCTTAACTCTTCTATAAATTCTCTAAAGGCAGGGACATGCCCAAGATACCTCTGAACTCTACAGAACACCTAGTCTGCTCCAGAGTCTCTCACTATTATCACCTTCTGTCACTGCCACCACCCTTTTTCTCTTGCCCCCCATCACTGCCCGCCCCCATGCCTGTCAGCATCACTGATTTAGCTCCTTTCCTAGAGCTTTTTCTAGGAGCCAACTTGAAGCTGACCAGAACATCTGCATTTGGCATCTCAGGTCAAAGGCAAGAGCCCTAGAATGGAGTCAGAGTTCCTGGTCCTCCACCAGCGGATCCCCATCCTGTCGTGTTTTCTTCATCTGTTCAAAGTGGGAGCTAGATTAAATGAATGTTTTTCAAACTCTGTGTGTGTGTGTGTGTGTGTGTGTGTCTTTTCTCAAAGAACACCTTTGGAATTTCATTTGTTTAGAATCTGGAGCTTAGAAGTCTTGGAACACAATTTAACAACATTCCATACCTGCCAAATTGGTGTTTGGAGAATCAGATCAGAATAATCTGACATTGCTGGCTTCTTCTCCTTTTGCTGCAGGGGCCGTGAGTGAGAACTGAGTGGAAGCATATCAGATTGAGCAAGTCCTGGGTCTCAGAAGGATCTTGGCAAAACTCCTCGCTCCCCACCCCTCCAAGAAGTCATCTGGGAAATTCCTGGAAATAAGAGGATGGGGCAGGCAGGAGGGATCCTATGCATGGGGAGAGCTCCTGAGTAGAAGTAGGAGTGTGATGAGTCTGGGACCCACAGAGAGGCCTCGTTGCCCAGTGCAGTACCAGGTGCAGCTTAGGTCAGGACATGAGGAAGCCTATGGCTCAACAGAAAGAACACTTCACCTGGTGAGGACCCAGCCTTCAATCCTGAATCCTGGGCTGTGGGTCAGACTGTGGCTGCAGCTGCAAAGAGATAAAGCTGACCTAAAGCTTTGTAGGACAAAGGGTACCCAGGAGAGCTGGAACCAGGCCCCAGGGTCCTCCTCTTCATAGGAAACCTTAAGAGCTCAGCTGACTAAGAGACTGAGGCTCACCTCTGCACACCCATCTACCACACCCATCTACCCTGCTGGAGTGGCCCAAGGCTACCTTTCTTGAGCTCTGCTGTATAAGTGCCAGAGCTACAGAGTCAGTGACCTCTGAGCAAATGAACAGCAGCCCCTCCCCTCAGGAATTAGGCCAGAGAGGAAGTGTCCTGGGTAGACGGGAGGGCCTGGGTCTGGGTCAGCCTCTGAGGGCTGGATTCTGGCTGTCAACTCTCCACACATCAGTCCACCCACCCCCACCTCCATAGTCCAAAGGTCCATGTGGTGAGCAGGTTGAGCTGTGCTAGGTACTACAAAGGGAGCCTGTGTCAGGACGTCTGGTGGGTGGGCAACATGGGCTTTGAGGAACTGCTGGATGAGGTGGGTGGCTTTGGACCCTTCCAACTGCGGAATCTGGCACTAATGGCCCTGCCCCGAGTGATACTACCCCTGCATTTTCTCCTGCCTATCTTCCTGGCTGCTGTGCCTGCCCACTACTGTGCCCTGCCTGGCACCCCTGACAACTTCAGTCACCAGGAGGCATGGCTGGAGACCCACCTACCCCGGGAGCCCGATGGCAGGTTTAGCTCCTGCCTCCGCTTTGCTCACCCCCAGACTCTCCCCAACACCACACTGGAGAGAGAGGCACCGAGTCCTGGGGAGCTGGAAGGAGAACCCTCAACCGTGCCCTGCTCTCAGGGCTGGGAATACGACCGCTCAGAATTCTCCTCCACCATTGCAACTGAGGTATCCAAACCCGGAGGGCAAGGGACATGAGTGTGATGAATTGCCATTTCCTTGGGTAGTAGCTGTGTGGGCATAAATTACATTCCTTTACCTCTTAGAATCTCAGTTTACCCATCTGTAGATAGGGTCCATGGACTGCAGTAAGAGGCCCATCCTCAGGAGCTGCTGTTATCTCTCATGTTAATTAACACAAGAAGTTGGGGCAGAGACCTGAGAAGGGATGCAGTGAGGTGAAGAAACTGCAGAGGCCTTGCTCCTGTTTCCCTCCCTCCCTATTTTCTGGCTAGGTCTGAGGTTTACATAATCCATCTGGAGGAGGAGGGTGAATGGAAGCAGAGTTTCCCTAGGGGGACTGGGGACTCAGGACTCTTGTGTTATAGTCAGGGCCCTCCATGAGAAGACCCTGAGGCTACAGGAGGAGTGAATTGTTGGAGGGGGGTATTTTCTGGCATAGAGGTATCTATCAGAAGTCCCCAGAGTCTGGAGAGGGTCTTAGACCCATATGAGACCCTTGTCTGCCTGTTTTGCAGTGGGATCTGGTATGTGAACGGAAAGGCCTGAACAGAGTTGCATCCACCTTGTTCTTCATTGGTGTGCTGATGGGGGCTGTGGTCTTTGGATACCTGTCTGACAGGTGGAGTGCGGTGTGGGGTGAATGAAGGAGAAGGCTGGGGGGGAACCCTCTTCCACTAGCTGGGGGTATGGGTCTAGTCTACCTATGTCTTGGAAGCTTCACAGGTAGCTGACCCTGTACAACCCCTTTGCAGGTTTGGACGGCGCCATCTACTGCTGGTGGCCTATGTGAGTACCCTAGTGCTGGGCCTGACATCTGCAGTCTCAGTCAACTATGTCATGTTTGCCATCACCCGCACCCTCACTGGCTCAACCTTGGCTGGTTTCACCATTATTGTGTTGCCACTTGGTAAAGCACTCAAGGGAAAGGCAGGGCCTAGAGGGCTGGAGGGAAGTTGTCAGTGAGTCAGACCAGGCGGCCCTTGCTTATTGTCTTCCTGTCTCTGGTCTGGCCTTGGGCCTAGAGCTGGAGTGGCTGGATGTGGAACACCGTGAAGTGGCCGGCATCCTGAGCTCCACCTTCTGGACAGGAGGCGTGTTGCTGCTGGCTTTGGCTGGGTACCTGATAAGGGACTGGCGATGGCTCCTGATGGCTGTTACTTTGCCTTGTATCATAGGCATCCTCAGCATCCGGTGAGGAATAGAGGCAGTTGGGGAGCGGAAGATAGAGGAAGCCAAAGTCAGAAATTAATCAGAGACTAAGATTTGAAGACAGAGAGACAGAAGGATGAAGGGAAAAGAAAACCAGTAAGTGACCAAGAGACAATAAGAGACACTGAAAGAAATACAGAAAAAGAGACCAAGAGAAAGAAGATGGCACAGGAGAGTGAAAAACAGAACAGGGCAGAGAGAAACATAGATTTAGAGACAAGAGAACCAACCAGTGATTGACAGAACCCAGAACTGAAAGACAGATTCAAAGCAACAGATGGTAGACACAGTGAGAGAAAACAAGAGCAAGGAGAGACAGTGACAAAGACAGAGTCAAGCAGCAGTTGAGGCTGACCCTTAAAGGAGTGGGAATGGGGCTGGGCATCATGGGAGAGCTCAGACTGGAGGGGAGGGTGGGTATTTCATTCATGTCAGTATGTCTTTCTCCTTTATCCTATGCTTTCCTGCCACCTGTGGGACAAGTGGGTGGCTAGTGCTGAGAGCTAAGGTCTTGAAGGTGAGACCATTTCAGTTGAGTAAGGAAGAGACCCAGGCTGGGGGAGCTCCAGGCCTGGGTAAATAGCATGAGGTGACTTTTATACTGGGCCTCATCAATTGTGGAGGGCTTGAAAAGCAGATGACATTCCAGACAGAGGGGACTATGTGAACATCCTAGAGGTTGACAGCTCTAAAATTCCCAAAAGGGAGATGTGGCTCACAGTACCAACTTTCTGGCTAAAGAGCCTCCTGCCTGTCCCCTAGGTGGGTGCCTGAATCTGCACGCTGGCTTCTGACTCAGGGCCGAGTGGAGGAGGCCCAAAGGTATTTGCTCCACTGTGCCAGGCTCAATGGGCGGCCTGTGGGTGAGGACAGCCTGAGCCAGGAGGTGAGAGTGAAGTTAGTGTGTGTGAGCATGCACACTTATGAGAGGGGCTGTGTGAAGTGTCCCTCCCTGGGGGCCCACCATATGTGATAGGAAAAGCCCTTTCCAAACTCTTTAGGCTGTCCTACCTGACTCAGATGGGTCACATCTTTCACTTAGGGTCCCCCCTTCTCAGCTCCCATGTGCACTTCCACCCCCACCACTGAGAGGGGAGAAACAAAGACAGAGTGAGAGAGAGAGAGAGTGAGAGCGAGCGCAAGAGCAGAAAGTAGCACATACCCACCATGCCCAGTTGAGACCAACTCTATCACAACTTCACGTCTTCCCTCATCAGGCCCTGAACAAAGTGTCCACGGGGGAACAGGTGGTCCCAAGACCCTCCTACCTAGACCTATTCCGAACGCCACAGATCCGGCACATCTCATTGTGCTGCATGGTGATGTGGTAAGGGGGCTGACTTGGGGCTGGTGGAGGCGGGGCTAGTGGAGGGAGGGGCAGACTCCAGGCCTGTGCTGAGTATGAGAAGAGTGACGGATAAGAGTGTAACTGTGGAGGGCCGAGGGTCAGTCAAGCTGGGGTAGGTCAAAAGATGAAGTTAGCAGCGGTCACGTGGATCTGAATTCAGGTTCTAGCTCCTGTGTGACCTTGGACAGCTCCCTTTTGTAAAACCGGCTGCGGTTAGTTGCCATGCCTCAGGGTTGCTGTGAAGATTAGAGTGAAGGCTTTTCGGCCACTGGCACATGCTGCACCCTCCGGTGTTGGGGGATTATGGGTGGTGGGGAAGCTCCCAGGCACCGGCGATCATCCTTCTAAAAGATCAAGTCTTCCTGAGATGAGGACAAAGGTGCAATAAGGGCCCTTGGAAGCACTGTAACTCCTTTCAGGTTTTCAGTAAACTTCTCCTATTATGGCTTGAGCCTGGACTTGTCGGGGCTGAGGCTGAACGTGTACCAGACGCAGCTGCTGTTCGGGGCGGTGGAGCTGCCCTCCAAGCTGGTGGTCTATCTGCTGGTGCGCCGTGCGGGGCGCCGGCTCACGCAGGCCGGAGCACTGCTGGGCACGGCCTTGACCTTCGGCATCAGATTGCTGGTGTCCTCGGGTAAGCCTGTCCGGCAGACGCTGCCTGCCTGAGATCCCGCCTCCTGGACACGAAGCCCCGCCCTCCCCCGGAGCTCCGACTCTTCGCCAGTTAGGCTCTGCCCGGTGGGCTTCCCATTCCCGGGGAGTTTTTGGCATTCCAACCTCTCACTGCCGAACCCCCCCTTTCCTTCAGAGACGAGTTCCTGGAGCACGGCCCTGGCGGTGATAGGGAAAGGTTTCAGTGAAGCCGCCTTCACAACTGCCTACCTGTTCACTTCAGAATTGTACCCTACAGTGCTCAGGTGAGGGGAGCCCGGAAGCAGGGTTCCCAGGCAGCAGATCTGGGGACGGGACTTGTTAGTCACGCGCCTTAACTTGCACTCTTCTGCACACTGTCCATCCGCCTCTGGATTCTTTACACCACACCTAGAATGTAGGGCTGGTCAGGGCTTTGTTTACCCAAATCTAGGAAGAGGTGGGGCATTTTCTAACTGTGACCGTGAGCCAAGTCAACTTCTTGGTGCCTCAGAAGAAATCCATCACAAAGAAGCCCCATCTACCATCCCATCTCATTCATGGCTGGTGAGGCAGAACTGTCCTTGGGGATTCTCTTTACAGAATTATAGGGCCCCTTTCAGCTAGCTATTGGCAGATGGGGAAATGAGCCTTACAAGCATCCAGCTTAGACTTGAGTCGGCTCCAACATCACCACAGCGACTGTGCAAGCTGCTGACCTGACCTTCCTCTTTCTTCCACACTAGTCTATCCCATTCTGATAACTTTTCTTTTAGTGGTACCTGATTGGTACCATGTATAAATGGGGGCCCCATCCTCTGGTGGGTGCTGGTCTGGGCTCCTGGCCCCTGGGTGGGTGGGAACTCCTAGCTTTCTTAGCTGTCTAGAAAGGTAGCAGGGCTTGCTAACTCAGGAGGGGAGCCTTGTGAGGCATGGCTTCCCAGCAGGTGTGAGAACAACCTGCCTCCCTCATCCTCTCTCTGATCAGACCAACAGGTATAGGGCTGACTGCACTGGTGGGCCGACTGGGGGGCTCTTTGGCCCCACTGGCAGCTTTGCTGGATGGAGTATGGCTGTCATTGCCCAAGCTTGCTTATGGGGGCATTGCCCTGCTGGCTACCTGCACTACCTTCCTGCTGCCAGAGACGAGGCAAGCACAGCTGCCAGAGACCATCCAGGATGTGGAGAGAAAGAGGTGTGTATATGTGAGCATATGCAAATGGATGCAGGTGCTCAGGATTCAGAGGGGAATACATTTGCACAGGTATACTTGGTGCATGTATAAGTGTGTGCACATGTATTTTAGGGTGCATGCTCTATGCACTTTATGTGCATAAAAGTGTTGAGTCTATACATGTGTGCACACTACAAGCATGTGTGAGAGTCTCTTGTGGGAGTACATGTGTTTGTATTCCAGGAGATGGAGAGAGCCCTGGGCCAGTCTGATGGGACAGGCTGGAGTGATAGGCTCCAGAACTAAGCCCCATCACTATTCCTGACTCCTTCCTCCCCAGTGTCCAACCCGGTCTTCAGGAGGAAGAGATGCAGGTCCAGAACTGAGTGGAATTGGGGCAAGCCCTCCAGAGAAGGTCTACAGTCAGGGGCTGAGAAAGCAGAAGGGCAGGCTCTTGTGACCAGAGCTGGGGGCATCAAACACTAGGGATGAAGTTGCCACTGATCCCCTCTGCCTGTGCTCATCCAGTCTTGACTATTCAGCCTCTAGCAACAGGACAACTTTCCAGAATGCAGTGGATTGTTGGAGATTCTAGGCATCCATCTAATGGCTGGGGGAATTCTGTAAATAAAGGTACCTCTTGAGTTGGGGCAGCAGTGAGGAGCTTTGGGAAGACCCCTGATGGAAAGCCACTAAGTTGGTCCTGGGCTCTGATCAGGTTTGCCACTGATTTTCTGTATGACCGGGGCATGTAGCTTTCCTTCTCGGGGCCTCAGTCTTATCATTTCCCAAATGGATAATGAAACCTCTTAACAGACTTTACAAGATCTGCTGTCATGCTCAAATTGAAATGAGGTGCTTTATCTAGAGATGGTGCTAAAGAAGAGACGGCCCTGTGATACCTTTTGGTGCCAGTGGGGCTGGTGGGCATGTTACCCAATCCCAGGCACTCTCCACTAAACCTGTTGTCTAGGCTTCATGCCCAAAGAAGGGTTGAAGGCATAGGAGCCAACATTTTATTGGAGAAGCCACAGAGGCATAGACTCAATAAACAAAAGTTTGAAGATGACCTTGAAGTTCCAGAATTTATTGGGGAAAGGGATAGGAAAGCCAGGAGACCACCATTCAAAGTGGGGTGGCCTGTGTTCCCTAACCAGATAAGAAAGGAAAAGGGAAAAATTTGCAGAGAAGGTATAGATTATCTGGCCTACCATGGAGCCTAGGCCCAGGCCCTCAGGATCTCGCCTTCCCCCAACCACACAGGACTGGAGAAATCTGTAGCTCCCGTTGGACCATGGAGGGGATGTGGGAAGCCTGAGTTAGGGTGACCTCTCTTGTGAGCGCCTCATTTGGGTTTTATCTCCACTGGGTCATAGATGTAGCAGCCCACATCGCCAATGTTCACACCTGAGGGAGAGAGCCCTATCACCAACGGCCTTGGGTATGGGGGGTGTTGGGTTCAGGGCTTTAGGGAATTGGGAGGGGTCTGGAGTGTGTTTGACCATAGGGGACATTGTCCACACATCCCCACGGACCATGTACATGCCATACTTTAGGCCTACTGTCTGGGGTGGGGCTGCCCACCTTTGGGACCAAACAGGTAGCCGTAGCAGGGGATGTGGCAGTATGGGACGCCATCATGCTAGAACACAGAGAGAAGGATTACCCTCTCAGCCTGGCTCTCTTCAAGCTCCAGCCTCCTTCCTCCCCAAACCACCCATTCCTGTCCTACTCACGTCAGCATGACTCCCAGCAGTCAGGGTCTTCCGGCAACGCTGGCACCTTAAACAGGGTCGGTGCCAGTTTCTGCCCAAAGACATCACCTTCTCAGCTGGTAGTGGGGAGAAGAGGTAGTTCTTCCATTCTAGGGGAAGGGCAGGGAGACCCACCTGCCTTGGACCACCTCCCTGCCCCCTTGCTGCCCAACCTAGTGTTTTCCTCCCCCAACTTTCCATTGTCACTTACCAAAATAGACTGGCTCCCCACAGCCGGGGCACTGTGAGGTCTCCCCAGTGAATGTCTTCATGTGGGGTGGGCCTTTAATGGGAAGAGGCCCTAGCTAGGGCTGTAGTTTGGGCCAGACCCTAAGCAGGGCCCACCAGAACCTGCCTGCACATGCCATTGTCCTTTTCTAAAACCCACACTCACCCCAGAGCCCCCACCCAGGCACTGTGAGTCTTCCTTCCTTGAACTGACCCACATTCTGCCCCATCTCTAACTGCATTAGGGAACACCTGCTGCTTCCTTTTTTTTTTTTTTTTTTGCACTGGGAATTGAATCCAGAGGTACCTTAGTATATTCCTAGGCTTTTTTAAATTTTTGAGACAGGGTCTCACAAAGTGGCCTTGAACTTGCAATCCTTCTGCCTCAGCTTCCCAAGTTGCTGGGACTACTACTATGTCACTGTGTTCATTATTCCTTGTCATTCTTGCAAGGGCTCAGGTGCCCACCAGCCCAACCTTGTCAGCAACTCAATCCTCAGGAAACCTGAGCTCATACAGGAATTGGCTAGGGCAGGAGTGTCAGGTGTTGGGGAGCATGGTGTTATTGCTCCATGCAATGGAGTGGGTGGAAGGAACAGGGGCCAGAGGAGAGAAGTTGAAGTATCTGAGGAAATGACTCTATCCTCATGACCCCTCAACTTGTAGGTCTTTTCTTCCATGGTCCTAGCCTAGGAAAGAGGCCTGAGTTCCAGGCCATCTTTGGCTCTCTCAATAGCTATGTGACTACACAAGGTCCTTTGTCCTCTCTATCCCTTAGTTGCTTCACATGTAAAGTGCTAATACTATCTGCCCGACTTACTTCTTAAGCTCAGAAGCTGACATGAGGGAATATCAAAAAAGGGGCATGGGTAGAGATTTTTCCAAGGACAGAGTTGTAGGAATGTAAAGCAGAGGGCTGGGTAGAAGACTGCCCCTGAAACTCAACTTTTACTGCATCCTGAGGGTCAGAACAAAGAGCAGGAATAGCTGAAGCCCAGCCTCACTTACTTTTTTTGCCATGGAGGAGGCCAGTCCTTGGCCTGGGGGGGCTGAAGCTGCTGGGGGTGAGGGAAGTGATGTTGGCAGGGGAGGGAGTGGGAGGATTGTAGAGATAGGAGCCTACACCACCAATGTTCACCCCTGCAGAGAGGAGGAATAGGGAAGATCAGGGCTTGGTTCCCAGCCACAAGGAATTCCCTGGCCCCTTTTAGGCTCTTTCTTACCTCTGGGTCCAAAGAGAGCCCCATAGCATGGTTTATGGCAGTATGGTCTCCCGTTGTGCTGGGCACAGAGGGAAGGAGTCACTCAGGGTCAAGGGGGTCGTGCCCCACAGGCCTGCTGCAAGATAAGCTGCCAGGTGTGTTTGTCCACTGGCCGGATCTGGTGGGTCTTAGAGGGGTGGGTGCTGGGCTGGCAGGCCAGAATTGCCATTGTGGTCCAGGGGGAGGCAAAAGCAGGCAATAACCCACCCCCTCAAAGCCACGGAGACATGGCACAACTGAGGCTCCCCAAATCCTGGCTGGTATGAGATGCCCCGGATGAGTAGCCCTGAGGTTGCCTGTTGAAGTAGACTTTGGCAGGGTAACAGGCTGAAAGTGGGGGCTGGGGTGGGATTAAGTGGGTTGGTGGGTGAAAGAACTGTGTGCCCTGGCCCTGGCCTCACCTCTGCATGGCCACCAGGAGACAGAACAGTGTGGCAGCGCTCACATTTCAGGCAGAAGCGGTGCCAATTCTTGCCCAGGGAGCTCACTTTTTCAGCTGTGGGGGACAAGGTGGAACTAACTGCAAAGAGCCAGGCCAAGCACCAGACGCCACCAACCCCCCAACCCCAGCCTGCCCTGCTCCTTAGAGACTATGGAGTGTCTCTGGGAGTCCAGCTCCACCCTGCCCCAGCATCATGCATCCCACACAGCTCTCAGAGGGGAGGAGAGGGAAGGGGATCACGCATAACAGGTTTAAGGGTATCTGGAACCATACCATGGCCAGCCCTCACATTCCCAGTGAACCCAGTGGCTCACATAGACCCCATCCTTTCCCTCCTCAGCCCAAGCCTCACCAGCCTCACCAAAGTAAACAGGTTGCTGGCAACGTGGGCAGGTCCAGCTCATGGCTCAGCTTGCTTAGGGAAGCAGACTTCTCACACTAGACACCACTGCAGGGCTCTGTTCTACTGGCTCCACCCACTGCTCAGCTTTGAACCCACTGAGCTGTCTGGGTGTTCATTTGACACCAGAAATTTAGAACCATTCCACCTGGGGGATGTAGGCAATTTCTCAGTCACTTCAAAGAGCATTAAAACCTCCAACCTATGAACCCTAGTGGGCACCAGACTGGGAGGGCAGGGGGTCAATGAAGATGCCTAGATGAATGGCTCTAGTTTCCCAGGTCAGTAAGGAGAGGACAAATGTCTACAGTGCAGATGGCATGAAAACATCTCAAAGTGAAAGGTAGGCATTTTTTGAAGTGATGTAATTACCCTTTGGTAGTCTAGCAAGTGGTTTGTTTATTTTGCTTCACTTTTTGTGGTACTGAGGATGAACCCAGGGTTTGGCATGTGCTAGGCAGGCTCTCTTTCACTGATCTACATCCCCAGTCCTAGCAAGTAGTTAAGAGCAACAGAATCCAGAATTTGAAGACTATCTGTGCTACTTAACCTACGGCTTCAGGCAAATTATTTACCCTCCCTCTGCCTCCATTTTCTTATCTGTACAATGAGTATTATGAAACAGTTTCTACCTCATAGGACTATTATGAGAATTAGATGAGTTAATATTTGTGGAATGCCCAAACAGCTTCTGGCACTTAAATATTATGAAAGCAATAGCTATTACTATGATGAATTCCTTAATGAACTCAAGACTTTTAGTCTGGAAGCCTCAAAACATAGTTTGTATATAATCAATGGCTTGTTCATAAAATTATAATGCTTATTAAATTTAAAAGTATAAGGAGGGAGTTGTGACTCAGTGGTAGAGCACTTGCCTAGCATGCGTGAGGCACTGGGTTCAATCTACAGCTTAAAAAACTGTAGTTCAGTGGTAGTGTCCCTGGATTCAATCCTCAGTACAAAAAAAATTCATATTTATACACATACATATATATACACACATATATACATATATACATGTATGTACATATGTGTGTGTATGTGTGTGTATATATTTATATATATATGTATGTATGTATATCTGTATAACACAAATGTTAACAAGGACATGGAAAAATTGGATCCCTCATACATTGCTGGTGACAATATAAAATGGTTCAACCACTTTAGAAAACAGTCTGGCAGTTACTCAAAAAGTCAAACATAGGGTTTGCCATATCACTTTGTACTTCTATTCTTAGGTTTATACCCAAGAGAAATGAAAACATGTCTACACAAAAACTCCTATATGAGTGTCCATTGCAGCACTATTCAGTGACAAAAAGGTAGAAACAACCCAAAACCCATCAACTGATAAATGGATAAACAAAATGTGGTATATCTGTATGACAGAAGATTATTCAGCCACAAAAAAAGGAATGAAGTACTAATACATGCTACATAAAATCATTAAGTGAAAGAAGCTAGATGCAAAATAACATATACTGTATGATTTCATTTATATGTCACTTTACCAATTCCTGCCTAAACACAGCTCCCCCTCATCTATTAAATATCAGGCTATAAGCCTCAAGCACTTTCTCCTACATCCTTTACTGGAGGGTAGAGGGACCAGTCCATGACAGCTGTTTTTCTGCCTGAGTGCTGAACCAAATGAGGAAAAAAAGGCAAAGGGAAACTCATGTATATCTTTAGATTTGATAATAGCTATGTTATAGCTTAATGGAGGGTCAAATGGGTCTGCCAACTTCCTGCTCACCTCTAGGTTGTGCCTGCCTCCATAATCTTTGAACTCCATGAAAGTAAGGACCAGGGTTGCCTGGCCAACCACTATGTATGTTTCTAGAGTCTCCCTCAATTTCTAGCACATAATGCTCAATAAGCATTTGCTGGTGAATGAATGTTATATGTAAGTCCCCTTCAGGTGTTAGTAGATGAGTGCTAGTAAGAGAGATGTGAGAATAAGAGGGCATTGGTAGGATTTGAAAGTTGGAACAACAAAAGTCCTGGAATAAGGGACTCTTAGCTGCCTATGAGTAAGGTCTTAGAGGAGCCTCTTTCTTCTTGTTGTTCTTCTTTTCTTTTCTTTTTTTTTTTTTTTTTTGGTACTGGGGATTAAACCTAGGAGTGTTTTGCCACTAAGCTATTTCCCCAGCCCTTTCTATTTTTTTCCTTTTGCCCAGGCTGACCTTGAACTTGCAATCTTCCTGCCTCAGCCTCTGGAGTCGCTGGGATTACAGGCGTGTGTCACCACACCCAACCACAGTTGTTATGTTTCTTTCTTAACATACATGAAGATCAACATGTATGATGGAAAATGAGGAATATGATTTAAATTCACTCTGTTATATATACTAGGTAACTAATAAGGTTTTTTCTTTAAAAAAAAGAACTGAAAATTTTCTTTCGCAGCTAACCAGTCCCTCTATTTATAGTCATTCACAAGACCTTACTAATTAAGCTTAATTAGCATGTAGCACAATTTATGCCTATCATTAAATATGTGACAAATGAGAAAATGTGAGAAAGTGTTATGTAAATTATAAACCTTTTTTTGTGTCAGGTTAACTTTGCAGTGAGTTTGTTTTACAATTACAAACCCCCCCCCAATTTTATGTCTTTGTAGACTTGCTATAATTCATAGTGGCATACTTGTGACTTTTAAGGCACTATCAAGAACTTTGTTCCTAAATGAATTTTGAAAGAAAAATCACTAAGTTCTGGTAAGTTTATGAAAAAAATCAGTCTTAATTATTTATACTTTTAGGTTTTTAAAAACCTTTGTTACTCATAACCCTTGTGCTTTCTCACTGCATGCCCCCTCCAACTAGAAAACTTTGCATTCTGTAGTTCATATTACTTAAATTTTAAAAAGGGCTGGGGTTGTGGCTCAGTGGTAGAGTGATTGCCTAGCACACGTGAGGCACTGGGTTCGATCCTCAGCACCACATTAAAAAAAAAAAAAGATACTGTGTTCACCTAAAACTAAAAAATAAATATTAAAAAAAAGAGGGTAGGAATGTGTGGATCAGTGATAGAGTACTGGATTCAATCCCCAGTAGCAAAACCACCACAAAAAGACAAAACAGAAAGACACTGAATTTGCTTTCTTAAAAATCCCTTGGGCTGGGGTAGTGGCTCAGAGGTAGAGTGCTCACCTATCATGTGTGAGGCACTGGGTTCGATCCTCAGCACCACATAAAAGTAAAATAAAATAAAGATATTGTGTTCACCTACAACTAAAAATAAATATTAAAAAACCCCATCCCTCCATCTGTAGAGAACTACTGTTGTATAATCACACATCATCTATGGCTCTTGCAAGAATCTGTTGGATTTTTTCCTTGTTTTCCAGCATCATCTTGCCATTACATGAACCTTTGAGAGAACTCTGTATATAGTTACAGAGTTAGCTGCTTGGGACTATTGAGTGGGATATATTTTGTGATTAGTGGCATTGACTGGAATAATTATGAATTAATCCTTTAGGAAAGGACCTTCTAAACCCTTTGCCTTGAGGCTTTCAACCTATGCTTGTGAAGAAATCAAACGCTTTTAAATGTTGGTTTTCCAAACAAAGATAGATTTGATTTCTCAAGTATTACTTGGAATGTGTACTTAATCTGAGAGTATATAAAAGTAACTATGTCCAAATAATTTGCAGCATAAAAATGTATGCATATTCTAATAAAAAATATATTCATATCCTGGAAAGAGAGAGAAGTGAAATTCGTTTGTCATATTGCTTATAAATCTGATAGATGATGTCAGTGCTCCTTGAAGTTGATGCAAGGTACTAGAAACGTCCTCATTTTCATACTAAGATTTAGAAGGTAATTTATAGCTATATATATGTATATATAATAGAATATATAAACATTATATTTTATATATATTTACATGTATTAGTATATGTAAATATTATATATCATATATAAGATACACACACATATGAATAGCTCTTCCAGTTCATAAGTGTATGTCAACGAGACTAACACAACTTAATCTTAAGAATTCAGACTAATGCAAATGTTTACCTTTTTTTTAAGGTACTGGAGATTGAACCCAGGGCTTTGCACGTGCAAGGCAAGCAACCTATCACTAAGCTACATTCCTTTTCTCCCTCCCTCACTCTACCACCAAGCTACATCCTAGCCTACGTGCCTGCCTTCCTATTTTTTTAAATATTGAGACAGGGTCTCGTTAAGTTGCCCAGCCTGGTCCTGAACATGTAATCTTCCTGTCTCTGTCTCCTGAGTAGCTGTGAATACAGAGATGTACCACCACAAATGTCTGGAAAATGTCTTATCTTTTTTTTTTTTTAATTTTTTTAGTTGTTGCTAGACCTTTGTTTTATTTATTTATATGCAGTGCTGAGAACTGAACCTGGTGCCTCATACATGCCAGGCAAGTGCACTACCACTAAGCCCAAGCCCCAGACCTAAATGTCTTGTCTTTTATAGAGAAGTCTTTCATTTCCTCTGTGAAGCTAAAGGTCACAGAATCAAGAATTCTAGCCTCTTCCCAAATGCAAATAATTGGACTTTTTCTCTTCTCCTAGTTTTTGGAACATGCAGGACTGTGAGATCCTTACTTGTAATCCCCATTCTTCTGCCAAGCATCCCTACAAAAGGCAGCATCTCAGTAGAGACAAGAACATAAAACTCAACTCTTGATAAAAAAAAAAAAAAAAAATCTCAAAAAGAAAAAATACAGGGGCTGGGGTTGTGGTTCAGAGGTAGAGTGCTTACCTAGCATGTGTGAGGCACTAGGTTTGATCCTCAGCACCACATAAAAATAAAATAAAAGTATTGTGTCCACCTACAACTAAAATATATATATATATATATATATATATATATATATATATATATATATTTTTTTTTTTTTTTTTTTTTTAAAGAAAGAATATAAACAGCTGAGAGTGGTTTGTATGTCTGTAATCCCAGCGATTTAGGAAACTACAGCAGGGGGATCACAAGTTTGAGGCCTGCTTGGGCAACTGAGAGTGAGGCCTCATCTCAAAATAAAAAAGGGCTGGGGATGTAGCTTAGTAGTAAAGGACCCCTCGGTTCAATCCCCAGTAACCTCCCCACACATACACACACCAAAAAAGTCTACAAACAAAAAGTCTACACTGAATCTTCACAATTTAAATTTTCACATTTAAATTTTCTACTTGGAAGCATTTCCATCAGAAAACTTCATCTCTCCCCCCACTTCACATTAATTCAACTTAGTCCAGTTGATTCATTAGGGAAGACCCTTCCTTCTTTTGGTGACCTCATGGCATGGCATGGTCTAAGTATTCTATTCACCTGACAACAGGTACTTATAATACCAGACTTTCTTGTATTATAAGGAAAGATACACTTTTATTTTCTAGATAAAAACCTTTAAGAATTATGGCTTTTTTTTTTTTTTTTTTTGTACTAGGGATTGAACCCAGGGGCACTTAACCACTGAGTCACATCCTCAGCCCTGTTTTTTTTTTTTTTTTTTTTTTTTAAATTTCATTTAGAGACAGGGTCTTGCCAAGTTGCTTAGAGTCCAAGTTGCTGAGGCTGGCTTTGAACTCCCAATCCTCCTGTCTCGGCCCCTTGAGCCACTGGGATTACAGATGTGTAGCACTGTGCCCAGCTGGACTATGGCATCTTGAGACTGCAGGGATTACTTCACTTCTAAGTGGAGAGACCTCCTTAGCCAAGCAGAACTGAGGGACTAGGGAAGAGAGATTCCTGATGACATCTTTCACCTCTTGGATCTAGCTCAGATTTGGTTTCCTAGTTATTAAGCCATAAACTATCCCTCATCCTTTGTTTTCTTTCTTTCTTTAGTTGTCAATGGACCTTTATTTTACTTATGAGGTGCTGAGAAGCTAACCCAGTGCCTTACACATGCTAGGCAAGTGCTCTACCATTGAGCCATCACCCCAGCCCTTATCTTTTGTTTTCTTAAGCTTGTTGAGGTCGGGTTTCTGATATTCACAACCAAAAGGGTTCTGATTAATACAACATGCACACTTATACACATAGATATTTCTTCTTGTATACAAAAATTGTAGTGTTGTGTAAAGTTCTGATACTATAGATAGATTTACATATATATTTTCTTTTTTAAAAAAATATTTATTTTTTAGTTGTAGGTGGACACACAATATCAGTGTTTCATTTTTATGTGGTTCTGAGCATCGAACCCAGTGCCTCATGCATGCTAGGCGAGCACTCTACCATTGAGCCACAACCCCAGTCCAAATATTTTCTTGTATGTACAATTTTCAAGATAATCTTATAGAAACAAACAAAAAAAGCAGTATGGAAGGAAAAATGAGTAACAAAAAAAAAGACAACATATAGAAAACAAACAAAATTGTGGAAATCTAGTTGGGTTTTTTTTTTTTTTTGGTAGCGGAGATTGAACTCAAGGGCACTTGACCACTGAGCTACATCCCCAGCCTCATTTTGTATTTTATTTAGAGATAGGGTCTCGCTGAATTGCTTAACACCTCGCTTTTGCTAAGGTTGGTTTTGAACTCACAATCCTCCTTCCTCAGCTTCCCGAGTCACTGGGATTACAGGCTGTGCCATGATGCCAGGTGGAAGCCTTTTCTTATCAGTAATCATTTTAAATGTAAAAATGAACTAATTTCACCAACTGCTAGGATCTAAATGTTTGTTTGCATCCCTCTCCCCAATAAATTCACATGTTGAAATCAAATCCTCAATGCAACAGGAGTAAGAGGTACAGCCTTTACAAAACCACATTTCAAAACTTATGGGATGCACTAAAACTGTATAAGAGGGAAATTATACTTGCAAACATTTAACTTTACAAAAGAATAAAGATCTCAAATAATAATCTAACTTTACATCTCAAGAAACTGGAAAAAGAGCAAACTAAATAAAAATTTAAAGGGGAAACAAAATAGTAAAAGAATGAAATTTTTCATAGAGAACAGAAAAACATTAGAGAAAGTTAATGACCAATAATTGTTTTTTCATTTGAAAAGATCCACCAAATGAACAAACCTTTAGCTGGACTAAGAAAAAGAGAGAATATGCAAACAAAATTAAAATCAGAAATGAAAATGTGGGTACTGGGCACATGACTCAGTTACTTGGGAGGCTGAGGCAGGAGGATAGCAATTTTGAGGTAAGGCCAGGCAAAATAAAAAAAAATAATTTTTTTTCAAAATAAAAACAACTGTTTCAAAATAAAAAAATTAAAAGGACTCAGGAGTATAGCACTTGCCTAGCAGAAACAACAACAAAAAGAAAAAAGTGAGGACATTATTACCAACCATCAGGAAATAAAAAAGATTATAAGAGAATATTAAAAATTTATCCCAACAAATTTGAAAGATCTAGATGAAATGAACAAATTCCTAGAAACACAAAAACTTAAAAAGCAGATTCAAGAATAAGGAGAGCTGGGTGCAGTGGAGCATACCTGTCATCCCAGCGGCTTAGAGGCTGAGACAGTAGGATTGCAAGTTCAAAGACATTCTCAGCAACTTAGTGAGGCCCTAAACAACACAGCAAGACCATGTCTCTAATAAAATACAAAAATGGGCTGGGGAGAGCTGAGGTTGTAGCTCAGTGGCAGAGCGCTTCCCTAGCATGTGCAAGGCACTAGGTTTGATGCTTAGCACCACATACGTATAAATAAAGACATTCTGTCCATCTAAAACTACAAAAAGGTGTGTGTGAGGGGCTGGGGATGTGGCTCTGTGGTTAAATCCCTGATTAAAAAAAAAAAAAAAAAGCTATAGAAAATCTGAATAGACCTATAACAAGTAAAGAGATTGAATCAATAATTGAAAATTCCCCTGAAAAAGTCTAGTACTAGTTGGTTTCACTGGTGAATTCTACTAAACATTTAAAGAAGAATTAACATTGAGTACTCAAATGCTTCCAAAACAGAAGTGGGAACACTTCTAAATCATCTATAAGATGAACATTACCTTCATACCAAAGGTAGACAAAAACACCACAGGGGGAAAAAAAAACAACAACTATAAACCAAAATTTCTTTCTTTCTTTCTTTTTTTTTTTTGTTAGTTGTAGATAGACAAAATGCCTTTATTTTATTTGTTTATTTGTAGGTGGTGCTGAGGATCAAACCAGTGCCTTGCCTCACGCATGCTAGGCAAGCACTCTGCCACTGAGCTACAGCCCCAGCCTGACCAATATTTCTTCTGATGCAAAAATCCTCAATAAAATAATAGCAAACTGAATCCAATAGCATATTAAAAGGGTTATACACAAGTAGGATTTATCCCCAGAATTTAAGAGTAGTAGTCCAACACAGGAAAAACCAATTAGTGTAATACTATTCACCACATTAACATTATGAAAGAAAAAGCATCACACACATATGATCACCTCAATTGACAAATAAAAAATATTTGACAAAATAAAATACGTTTTCATAAATTCTCAAGAGACTAGGAATAAAAGGGAAAGCCATCAACATGGTATCAAACATTTTTGAAAAACCTGCTAACATAGTTTTCAGTAGGAAAAAACAAATTTTTTTTCTGGCTGGGTGTGATGGAGCAGGACTATAAATCCCAGCTACTTGGAGGCTGAGGCAGGAGGATTCCAAGTTGGAGGTCAGCCTGGGCAACTTATCAAGACCCTATCTCAAAATCAGAAAAGGACTGGGGGGTATAGCTCAGTGGTAGCTCATGCTTGCTTTGCATGCGCAAGACC